GTGCCCTGACAGGAGTCAAACCGGGACCCCTCAGTCCATGGGGCGATGCTCCATCCTCTGAGCCACACTGGCCGGGCTGAGGGTGGAGGACACACAGGGCCCCCCTGAAACCCAGGCCCCTCCTACTCACAGCCCCCCTGGAGGCTGAAAATGGTCAACGCCTGACTTCCTGCTTGAAAAATGAGTGAACCCCCGCACCCAACACGCCCCTTTGAAACATGGAATATTTAAAATTCATACCCAAACTCTGCGTACACATAGATCACATAACTTTATGACTTCGCCAGCGTCGTAAGAGCCCTGTAATATCTCACAAGGTATGTTTTATTCCTTCCAATGTGTATCCCAGGAAGATTTAGGGACCACATTCTGCCCTCAACGTTAGTTGTTGCTTCCTGGAACAGTCACTGGCCGGGCATGTCCTTGTCACCGGGGTGGGTGCAATGTCTTTAATAATCCCTGAGGGAGGTGTTTGCATCCTGGAGAGGGATCCCTGTGGCCTCGGCCAAGCTCAGTTCCTGTTCTCAGAGCACCACCTAGAGGTGCACGGGCCCGGTGCACCCAGAGAATGTCACCACCAGGAGCGGCCCTAACGTTACCTGTGGACTCTGGTGGTCCTGACGTGACCGTGCAGGTGCATCAGCTGTGACAAATGTCGCGTCGGGTGGGGGTGTTGGTGCACGGGGGGGACAGGATGTACCTGGGAAATTTCTGCACCTCCCTCTCCGTTTTGCTGTGAAAACAACTTAAACTGCTTGGAAAACTAAAATCTACTGAAATGCGATACGCCTCGAAGGACTGCAAAGCCACTTCCTTCTTTCCCGTGAACCAACTGCTAAACAGGATGACTCCTCAGACTGAAGAATGAGGGAGCCCTGTTGAACTACATGAAGGTCAGGTGAAGGGCACCCCAGCCTCCCCGCTCGTGACCTGAAGCCGGGTGCCCTGGGCAGAGGCAGCGATTGGCCGGCCTTGGCCCACCGCAGAGGGCGCGACTCATGTTTAGATTCTTGCTGACACTTCTTACCTCCCTGAACCTGCCTCGCTGCATGTATTTTTAGGGATGTATTTAAACGTCAGGGTTTCTTTTGTTACCTTAGGAAAATATAACACAATATCACACAGTTGGAATTGGCTTGAACGACACAGAGAAAATATTCTAACTCAGCAATTTTCAACCAGTGCCCTGACAGACGTGGTAAAACAGCTGCACCTGACTGTTCAGATGGGGCACTGACCTCTTTCCCCTTAGACGTCAAATAAAAAAAAAAAATCACAACAGCCAACACAACAATAGCCGTGTGATGTGACCGATTCAAAATTATACGGATGTTTTTTGTCAGATGGGCAAAAAAATATATTTTTCAGTGTGATGCAGAATGTTAGTAATGAGTTTATGTGCCCTGAGATAAATAACGTTGAAAATCGCTGTTCTGAACTATCCAAGCTTCTTCTATAGCAACGCGTCTAATATAAACCTGAAATGTTGAGATCGGAGCTCTGTGCCGGAGGAATCTCGGCCTCTTTTTGAAAGGAGGAGGAGGAGAACATTGAGGCAAAGGGTGTGCCGACCCCACGCAGTTTTATTTCTCCAGGAGCCTTCGAGTTTCCCCTCTTCCTCCGTGGCCACCGCAGGGGTCACCCCGGATGTGTGTCTCTGTCTTGTTCAAGTTCCTCCTCAGGGTAAGAAGAACACAGCCTCTACTCCGGCCACGACGGCAGTGTCGGTACACGCAGGCGCCGCCTCCTTGCACGAAGCTCAGCTGAACAACAGCATCGTCCTTCAGGACCACCGGACATCGAGCTGAACAGATGTCTCCCGTCTTACGACTGAGCATTTACAGGAGAAGCCACGTGGAGACGGGCAGAGACCAGGAAGCGGTTGCGCCCACACCCACCTGAGCCAGAGGAAAGTCTAGAGGGTATCTCAGCGACAGAGATACCCCGAGGAGTCAGGGGGCCCAGCCCCACACCAGGCCCCAGCCCGGGTGTCGGCCAGGACGAGGAGTCCTCGTGATGCTGGGCAGTGACAACCAGCGGGGACTGTGGCCGCATGAGCCGCGGCTGCTGGAGCCCAGGATTCCCCTTGAAGGGCCCGAGCGTGGACGTCCCTGGACTCTCCCTCTGGCCCCGGTGCTGGGGCAGCAGCTCAGAGCACTACAGGGACATGTGGGAGGAGCCGAATTATTTGGCGTCAGGGCAAGAGCTGGGGCGCTTTCCCCAGACAGAGGGGCTGGCTGAGGCCGCGGCTCCTTCGCTGCGCTCGCCCCACCCTGACCAGCCGGCGGTTCCACGTCTGCGGCTCCATCAACCTGGCCCATGCCCGTCGCCCCACCTGGTGCTTCCCTGAGACCCCGCCCAGCTGGCAGGCCCACCCAACCTGCCTCCTGCGGCTTCTCCGCACAAACGCCTGGATCAGGTCAGATTTCCCCAGAAGCTCTCAGACGGGCAGCGTCTGACCTCAGCCCTGGGCTTCCTGCGAAGAGGCCCCAGGCCTGGCACAGGCAGCAGCCTCGGCGCATCGCGTGGCCTCACCTGGGCACCTCGGACCCCGGCACAGGCAGCAGCCTCGGCGCATCGCGTGGCCTCACCTGGGCACCTCGGACCCCGGCACAGGCAGCAGCCTCGGCCCATCGCGTGGCCTCACCTGGGCACCTCGGACCCTGGCACAGACAGCAGCCTCGGCGCATCGCGTGGCCTCACCTGGGCACCTCGGACCCCGGCACAGGCAGCAGCCTCGGCGCATCGCGTGGCCTCACCTGGGCACCTCGGACCCCGGCACAGGCAGCAGCCTCGGCCCATCGCGTGGCCTCACCTGGGCACCTCGGACCCCGGCACAGGCAGCAGCCCTCTGTAGATCACTCTGTAGCTCATGCCAGGCGGCCCTGGGCAGAACACAGGGGTAGCTAACCTTGGCCTACACCTCCTGGGAGTCCCCAGAGCCAGCGAGCCCAGTGAACAGCTTCAGACCACATTGAAGCATCAATACCACCTCCCCAGGCAACACACCCATGGGGCAGACTCAATGGGCACCAGAGACCCACAAACGTAAGTCCTGCTCTGCTGATCCTCCAAGGTGGTCAGAGGTCGGTGGTCACAGCCATCCTTGCATCTGATTGGCTGAGCGTAAATCCCTCCCATTGGCATGCCAACATCGATAAAGGCTCAGCTACAGTGGAGGGGTGCACCTAGAGTGTCTGGCTGGGGTGGTCAGGGAGGCTGTGCCGCTGGACCCTACAGGACGCCTGCCACAGTAGCCACCCTACCGGACCCAGGAGACGCAGCAGCCCTGCCTGATCCATGGAAATAAACACAGGGAAGCAGTCAAAAAGCAGAGACAAAGAAACATGTTCCACATGAAAGAACAGAACAAAACTCCAAGAAAAGAACTAAACAAAATGGAGACAAGCCATCGAACAGATGCAGAATTCAAAATATCGGTTCTAAAGATGCTCAAGGAACTTAGCGAGAACATCAAGGAACGTAGCGAGGCCTCAAGAGCATAGAAAGGACCAGTCGGAAATGAAGGAGACACTCACTGAAGTGAAGAACAATGTACAGGGGATCAACGGTAGAGAAGATAAAGCTGAGAGTCAAATCAGTCATTTGGAATATAAGGAAGCAAAAAAAAAAAAAGAAAGAAAGTGTCAGGAGCCTGTGGGACATCTTCAAGCGTGCCAACATTCGCATCATGGGGGTGCCAGGAGGAGAAGAGAACAAGAAATTGAAAACCTATTTGAAAAAAATAATGACAGAAAACTTCCCTAACATGGTGAAGGAAACGGACATACAAGTCCAGGAGGCACAGAGAGTCCCAAACAAGATGAACCCCAAGAGGCCCACTAGACTGTCCCATAAGACTGTCAGCTGATTTCTCTCTTAATTTTTTTTTTTTAATCCTCACCCAAGGACATTTTTCCATTTTTTGTTCAGATAGAGCAGGAGGGAGAGAGAGAGAGAAACATCAACATGAAGGGACACATCGAGTGGCTGCCACCCGCACGAAGAAATATTCAAGGTGGTGAAAAGCAAGAACCTACAACCAAGATTTCTCTATCCTGAAAAGCTGTCATTTAGAATCGATGGACGTACAAAGAGTTTCCCAGACAAGAAAAAGCTAAAGGAGTTCATCACCACCAAACCAGCATTACTGAAATGTTAGAGGATCTTCTTGAAGAAAAAAACTAAGATAAAAATATATGAACAATAAAATGGCAATAAAGACATATCTATCAACAATTGAATCTAAAATACAAAATGAACAAGCAAGCAGAACAGAAACAGACTCATAGATACAGAGAACGTTTTGACGGTGGCCCAATGGGTGAAGAAGGGGAAGAGACTGAGAAGTTCTAATCGGTTGTTACAGACTAGTCACAGGATACAAAGTATAGCAGAGGGAACATAGCAATAATATTCTAATAGGCACGTGTGGTATCCGACAGGTACGAGATGTATTGGTAAGCTGTACAACGCCTAATCTCTGGGGCATACACCTGAAACTAAGGTAGCATTGTATTTGGCTATACTTGAAAAAAAAAAATGATTTAAAAAAAGAAGAAAGAACACGACCACTTACACATTTTATTTTCCTCCACGGAAACTTACGGATCCGCAATGTGAGAACCACCCCGTGTCTCTCAGTCAGCACAGGTGCCCACCTTCCCAGGGGTTGTCGTTTTGTGGGTGCCTCTCGTGGCCAGGGTCCCTCACCTTGTCTCGAAGCCCTGAGGGGTCAAGCTGTGGAGGGACCTCCCGCAGGCGCTCGGAGGGGACGCTGCTCATAACTGTACAAGGGGCGAGGAAGTGAACGGCACTAGGTACGGCGTGGTGCACAGAAACACAGCAAGTTGCCTCTCAAAGTTTTATTAGTCAGGAGCAAGAGAAAACAGAGTGAGCAGGTAGCACGGGCTCAGAAGGCTCCCGCCAGCTGCCCCTTGTCAGCACCGAGGGCCCAGGTGTGGACAGGACAGAGGCCTTGGCTTTCTGCTCAGATGGACCTGAACTAATACTGGACAAATGCAGTGTTAAAAGCATAGGTAGGATCCCCGTGGGGCCACACGCGGCGTCACGCAGCCGCCCCACGCACTGGGCACAGCACACCGCAGGGACTCCGGTGCCCGTCTTCACTGGGCGGGGCTGGAGCTGGAGGCGGGGATCAGCTTCGGGGTGGCCTGCTGGGGCGGCGGCACGTCGGGGATCTCCTCCCCGTGCTTGTACACGCTGACCGTGACGTCGATCTTCTCCCCGCCGTACTTGTTCTTCACGTTGATGCTGTACTTGCCCGAGTCCTCGGCGGTCACGCCCTTGATGCTCATGCTGACGTACTTGGCCTGTTCCACCTTCGCGGAGAAGTGCTCGTTCAGCTCGATGTCCTTGTCGTTCTTGAACCACACGACCTCGGGGTCGGGGTTCCCGAACACCGTGCAGGTCAGGTTCAAGGTCTTCCCGGGGGGCGGGCAGGGAGGGCGGAGAGACAGAAAGACAGAGGTCAGATTCCTCTACATGGCTTTGACTGACCCCAAAAGAGCTGGACGCAAACGAGCCCCTTTCATGCAGCCACTCGTGAGAAAATTGGGGGTGATTTCCCTCTTCACCCCAGCTCCCGTCCCGGCCTGAGCCAATCCAAGAATCTGAGGCAGAGAAACAATCACGTTTTACAGCAGAGGTTTGTACACGTTTCCAGTGTCCTTTACATGCGGACTCGCGGACCCTCTGCGAATCCGGAGAACGGCTGCCACACGGCAGGTCCACGCAGCCCACGGGCAGTGCCGCCACCGTGAGCCTGCACCAGGTCAGAACACCGCGACCTTCTCCCCTGCGACCCTGTCGGACCCCGGTGTCCGCCTCAGCTCTGGGCTCCCTGAGCTGCTACAGGCTCACGAACCAGCATGTTGACCTAATGAAGTTCTGTCCACTCTGCCCGACACTGAGCTCGAACGCCCGGAGCACCGGACAGGCAAGGCCACCTCAGCAAGTCCACGGACGGGGGACAGTTAACAGCCTGGAGGCTGCGACAAATTTCTTTTCCATTTCACACTTGAAGGGGTGGCTCCCACCTTCACACAGCACAGGTGCGTCCTGTGGGTGCGAGTGTGGCCCCCAATCCTTGTGGTTATACCAGCCCTGGGGCCAGGGGCATCAGCACCTGGTGGACACCAGGCACAGGGCCAGCCGCCCCCACACGCCTGCCTGCAGGTCAGGGTCAGGCGGCTGTGCCCGGGGTCGTGAAGGTGTTGTTTGTGGACTCAGATATTAAACACAAGAGTGACCAGAGGCAGTGGGGACACAGGGCGTGAGTGGGGAGCCCCAGTCGGAGGCTTGGTGACGCACACCCCCTGCCGGGCTCCTGGGCAGCCCTCCGAGGGGCTGAGCCCATCCCCCAGTGTCCTGCTGTCTGTCCTCACCTTGCCTTCCATGATGGTCACCACGTCGGGTAAGCCGCCGATCACCTTGCCGCGATCTGAAACACGAAGGGAACCCAGGTGAGGGTCCGTACCCGGCCCCCCTCCTCCAGCCCCACTGAGCTCTGGGTGCTGTGCAGATCAGCGGACGGGGCACGGGGAAGGCCGAGAGGCTCGGGGGACGTGGGCGTGAGCGGGACTCTGGGGGGTCGTGGGGTGTGAGCGGGGCTCTGGGGGGTCGTGGGGTGTGAGCGGGGCTCTGGGGGGTCGCGGGGTGTGAGCGGGGCTCTGGGGGATCGCGGGGTGTGAGCGGGGCTCTGGGGGATCGCGGGGTGTGAGCGGGGCTCTGGGGGATCGCGGGGTGTGAGCGGGGCTCTGGGGGGTTGTGGGGTGTGAGTGGGGCTCCTGGGCAATGTGGGGGGTGAGCAGGGCTTTGGGGCAACTTGGGGTCTGAACCGGGCTTTGAGGGCAGAGAGGGTGCATCGCAGGCTCCACAGGCCCAGGCAGGGAAAGGGGTCTGGGGGGCAGGACTGTGCGGGTGGCAGCATACAGATCCTATCTTCATTTCCCGTGTGTTATGATGTTTGACTTCTTCAAAAGCCCCTGCTGGAGAGAGACCGCCCCTCCCAGCCAGGAGCTCTCCTGGGACACCCGGACCTGCCAGCCGCCCTCCAGAGCCAGCCTCCTGCAGCTTCCTGCACCCAGCAGGTGAGACGCCAGCCAGGTGCTGGGCAACCGGGGACCACGCCCAGAGCCACCGCCCCAGGAGGACTCAGTGCAGCCAGGGGCTCCCTGTCCCCCTCCTCTCCTCGGGAAAGCCCGGCAAAGGCCGTGCGTCCTCCTGTGGCTGCACCTGACCAACCATCTCACCTGCTACAACAACACAGAACGGTGGGCGGGGGCAGGAGGGACAGGTGGCGGGGGCTCTGCAGGGAGTGAGGATGGTGCTCAGTAGTCAGAAACCCTGCTGTCTGCCATCCAGCACAAACCTGGGGCTCCAGAGCAGGGCCCTCTGCCCCCCCCAAGTCAACAGTGCTCTTCCCACCCACTGTGTACTTACTCTTCTCGGCAAAAGCAGCAGCCCTGGGGGGAGGGGGCAGAAAGAGAAATGTGAGAAACCACCATGGACACAGAACCTGCTCGGGGAGGGGAACTCGGGGGGGGGGCACAGGCCGGGCTCCCAGGGACATCTCTGCATTTCCCTGATGTCCCCACCGCCCGTGACAGGGGGACGCCCTGTCTTTCAGCTGCTGAAACCCCAGAAGAGTTTGCTTGAGACTCAGAGTTAAGAGATGTATTTTTTTCACTAAATTCACCAGATTGCCCTGGAGAGCTGTAGTTTTTTATCTTTTATTTTTTAGTTGTTTCTTGGTTTCTAATTTATCTTAGCCACCCATTCACCCAGTTAACAGATACTTATTGAATAGCCTAGTGCGGGGTCAATGGCTGTTGCGTTTTGGATGCTCTAAAATTCAGACACACACTTAAAAATCCCAAGTTATTTTTTCAAAGTCTGCCCTGGACAATGGGACGTCGTCAGCACTAAGACATGAGCTCTCCAGCCAGGAAAGTCGTGGAGGGACCTGAAGTGCGTGTGGCTGAGTGACGGGAGCTGTTCTGGAAGGCTGCCCACTGTGACCCCAACTTGTGACACCCTGGGGGAGACAGAGCTGGGGGGACAGGGACGGATCTGTGGCTGCTGTGGGGTTGGGGGGGATGAGCAGGGGAGCCCAGAGGTTCCGGGCAGGGAACCCGCTCTGTGTGGTGCTGTGGTGAGGGTGGACACGTCATCACACATCCGTCCAAGCCCACAGGACGCACAGCACTGAGTGACCCACTGCGGCCTGTGGGCCTGGGTGACGATGACGTGTCTGTGCAGGGTCGTCAGCTGTGACAATGTCCAGCTGGTGGGGTGTTGCTGGGGGGGCTCTGCAGGTGGGGGCAGGGATTACATGTGAAATCTCTGGGCTTTTACCTCAAGTTGGCTGTGAAACTAAAAATGCTCTTTAAAAATAAAGCCTTAAATAGACCTAAATGTATCCCTTTTTGAGAAACTGCTCTTTGAGGTGTGTTGCCATAATTATAACTGTTTCAGAAATCCATCACTTTAATCCATCATTAAAGCAACCCAGAGTCATCATGACTCTCGAAAGTGAGTTACTGGAGACCATTAGAGTTCGGGAAAATGCCTGCCCTTCGGCGGGTAGAACTGCCTGGGCTGCCATTTCCGTCCCAGCTCCCAGGAAATGACATGCTGGGGGCCACCCAGGCATCCGGAGATGTCCCCACACTCAGCCAACATGACTGCAAGACACCTGGAGCCCCCAGGGGTGGGGAACCTTTTGTCTGCCCAGGGCCATCTGGGCATTTACAACATCATTCGTGGGCCATGCAAAATTATCAACTTAGAAATGAGCCTGCCGTGTATGGTCAGGTGAACTTGGTGAGGTGTGTGATGGTGGCCGTATTGTTTCATGGGCGCCCGCGGGCCGTGGGCCAGGTGTTCCCCGCCCCACCCTCGACGGCAGAAATAACCAACATGCAAGTCTTACTTGAGTTGCTGAAATTCTGCGAACGCTTCGTCGAAAGCTGTGGGGAAACATGTCAGCGTTACCCATGGTTTCAACGTGCTTTGACTCACTAGCTCACACCCTCTGCGGCCACGTCTGCCCAGTGAGGACTGAGAGCAGCCAAAAGAATAGACTGATCATTCAGAAACAGTCACCAAGTGAGGAACATTCGGAAACAGTCACCAAGTGAGGAACATTGGGAAACAGTCACCAAGTGAAGGTCATTCGGAAACAATGTCTCCAAGTGAGGAACATTAGGAAACAGTCACCAAGTGAGGAACATTCGGAAACAGTCACCAAGTGAAGGTCATTCGGAAACAATGTCTCCAAGTGAAGTTCATTCAGAAACAGTCACCAAGTGAGGATCATTCAGAAACAGTCACCAAGTGAGGAACATTCAGAAACAGTCACCAAGTGAAGGTCATTCGGAAACAATGTCTCCAAGTGAAGTTCATTCAGAAACAGTCACCAAGTGAGGATCATTCAGAAACAGTCACCAAGTGAGGATCATTCAGAAACAGTCACCAAGTGAGGAACATTCGGAAACAGTCACCAAGTGAGGAACATTCAGAAACAATGTCTCCAAGTGAGGAACATTCAGAAACAGTCACCAAGTGAGGAACATTCGGAAACAGTCACCAAGTGAGGATCATTCAGAAACAGTCACCAAGTGAGGATCATTCAGAAACAGTCACCAAGTGAGGATCATTCAGAAACAGTCACCAAGTGAGGATCATTCAGAAACAGTCACCAAGTGAGGAACATTCAGAAACAATATCTCCAAGTGAGGAACATTCAGAAACAATGTCTCCAAGTGAGGAACATTCAGAAACAATATCTCCAAGTGAAGTTCATTCAGAAACAATGTCTCCAAGTGAAGGTCATTCAGAAACAATGTCTCCAAGTGAAGGTCATTCAGAAACAATGTCTCCAAGCGAGGCCCAGGAAGCCAGACCCTCTCCCTTCCAGCACCCTGAATGGATGTCTGAGTGCCAGGCCTCAGATGCTGAGGGACCACCCTCTCACCTTGACCAGACAGGTCCAGGGAACGCTGGTGGTTATCTTTGCCATCAAAAATCTCGAATGTGTATTTCCCTTTATCCTTCTCTGTGGGCTCACAGATCTGCAGCCAGGCCATCTCCTCGCTGCCCCCAATCCTCATATGCTCACTGGACGCGATCTTAGCATCTCTGTGAAAACAAAACCAGCAGGAACATATGTGAATTCAGAATCTCAATGCTGCGCCAGACGCCTGTGGGGCAGGAGCCTTGGCGTGGGCGGGGAGCCTCGTCCAACCGGACACTGCTTCTGCTGCCACAGACTTTCGGGGCATCGGTCATTCGTTCACTGCCTGGGTAACTAGCTCAGATCTGAAAACCTCCCAAGTTGAACATGATATTTAGTTTCACTGTTATTTAGGATACGCTCGCTGGGGGCCACATAATGGACTTTAAAATGCTCGATGTGGTGTGGCATTCTTTTCCTCAAAAAAATGTTTTCATGCTATACAATTAGTAGTAGCACTTCCGGGTATAAACCTGAAGGAGCTGAACGCTGGGACTCAGCCAGCACCTGTGTGCCCTCCCGTGTGGCGGCATCACAGCAGACGACAGACTGAAACATCGCACTGCCCACCGGGGAAGGATGGAGAGCAACAGGTGGTCCATCGCGCGGCCGAATATCATTCAGCCTAAGAAGGCAGGAGCCCAGCGGGGGCACCTCCCAGTAGCTTGAAAGCCGCTCCAAGGGTCCAAAGGGGTTTCCCCAGCTCCCTCAGCACTTCCCCATGGGAGCGGGTCCCACAAATGCGACAGACTGAGGACAAACGTGTGGGGGGACATGGCAGGTGTCTCGGCACCTCCCCTCCCACTCAGTTCCATGGGTGAGGTTTCCCGGACTGAAAGCCACGGCCGGTGTGGCTGGGTGCTGTTCACACCCCACAAGGTGGCAGGTTCGATTCCCAGTTCCGGGCATGTGCCCGGGTTGCGGGTTCAGTCCCCAGTCAGGGCACGTATGGGAGGCAACTGATCAACGTCTCTCTGTCACATTGATGTTTCTCTCTCTCTAAAATAGGTTAAAAACAAGTAAATAAGCCCTGAGATTCAAGCCAGCTCTCGTGTTTCTCTCCTCTGAAGACACCATGGATCCCCGGCGGCGAACCCCGCTGGTCTCCCATCCACCCTTGATGCTGGGGCCCAGCCCTCCCTAGGCGACCTGCCAGCTGACCTCTCGAAGGGCAGCTGCGCTGGGCCCCTCTGCCCACTCCCAGCTCATTCAGAGCAGAGAGAAAGCTTGGAGACGGTGCCACCTCCCAGGTGACCCCTAGTGACCTTCATCTGCTACGACACCGCTGACCAGTCAGCTCCAAGACCGGGCCCCTCTCCCGTGGGTCTGTCCATGTCACCAGCCCCCCATGGGCACGTGTGGGTGTCCATGCAGGGCTGCAGGGGCGTCTAGCCTTGGCCACCAGCACCCAGCTCAGGAGACATGGCTGCAGGTGGCCCACCTAAAGGCAGGATGTGGGCCCCTGGGCTGGGGTTCACGGAGGAGACTGAGAAGTTGCTGTGGGGTCCAACTGGAAACAGCTGACAAGGCCCCGCGTCCTCGGGTTAGAGCAGAGACTGGCGGGTGGCAGGTCCCTCTCCGTCCACTCCCATCTCAACTGCTGCCCTCTGCAGGTGTCCCTGGGTCACGGGGACCCCCCCTCGTCCCCCCACAGTGACATGGAACTCTCACGGGAGTTGGGGGTAAGCTTGAGGGTGGGCAGCAGGACTGGCCGTGCGTTGTCCCAGTGTGACCGTCTCAGGGTTTGCACAGTGCCCGTCCCCCAGAGAAGGCTGGGCAGTGGCCAAGACACTCCGAAAACCCGCTCCTCACAGGGGCTCCGTCTGGCCCCTTCTTCCTTTGCTTTGAGTGTCGGCTTGTTCTAGTCCTTTCTGGCCAAGCAGGCTACTGGGCGGGCAGCAGACTGGACACTGGGGGTGACTCCTGACCTGTCATCCTGGGCTCAGCTGAGGCCCCGAGACTCGTGTCGCCAGCAGAACCACCACGTCTACACCGAGACACTGAAGAAACTGCTCTCTGACCCCGTCAGGCGTTTCTGGATCTGCCTCCTCCCTCCATCCTCCCCACTGTCCCCTGCCCCAGCCAGAGCGCGTCATCACTTCCAGACCCCGCGTCCGAGAGTGTGCACTGCCCCCCCCAGGGCTCGGCCGGGCGGCGGCGGGACTCACTTGTGGTACCAGTTCACCCGCATTTCCTCGGTGAAATACTTCATGAAGCACTGCAGCCTGATGCCTTCCGGGGTGCAGAGCACCTTCAGGGGGGAGGCGGACGCACCTGCGGAGAGGGCACACGCTCAGGTCTGACACTCGGGCGCTGCCGGCGGGGAGGCGCCCAGCCAGGTCCCCGCTCACCCGCCCAGACGCCTCCCACCCCCGTGCGTGCCGGCGTGAGCCCGGGCCCTCAGTGTGTCCCTGCCTCGGCCACTTGCCAGGACTCACTCACGAACTGCAAGTACTGTGGGAACACACCATTCAGGAGAAGAATAAACACAGAGCCCTGGCCGGTGTGGCTCAGCGGTTAGAGCGTCGGCCCGTGGACCAGAGAGCAACCGGTTTGATTCCGGCCAAGGGCACGTGCCTCGGTTTTGGTTAAATCCCCAGCCCTGGTTGGGGTCCTGTGGGAGGCAACCAGTCGATGTGTCTCTCTCACGTCAATGTTTCTCTCTCTCTCTCTCCCTGCCTCCCACTCTCTCTGAAAAATCAATGGAAAAATATCCCCTGGTGAGGATTAAAAAATAAAAAATGAAGAGTCAGCACCTGCCCTTTACAGCTCAGCTTACAAAGAGGGAAAAGCGTGTGGACAGAGCTGGACCCGGTAAGTCTGTGTTCGTTGATCCAGAACCCAGGACGGTAGAGAATCAGCAACTTGGACAAAGGAGCAGAAAAGCCCAGGAAGAGGTGGGGGCGGGGGCGGAGACACAGGACAATTCAGTAAAAAGCGGATAAGGGACAGAAGGCAAAAGAAGCCACAGACATAAAGAGAGACCCGGGCACCGAGAACCCCGAGCTCGGAGGAAGGATTTGGAGTCATCTGACGGGGGGGTGGGAGGTCGGGAGACGGAGGGGTGGGAGGTCGGGAGACAGGACCACGGACACGGAGCCCACTCGAGCTCTGAACTGGGACCAGAGGCCGGCCACAGAGGAGACTCGGAATTCACACAGACACTGGGATTCCGCCAGCACAGCAGCGTGGTGACACGCCACCGAGGAGCTCGTCACGGAGCAGAGGCTGGTTGCAACCCTCCCCTTACTCCTGGTCAGTGGCTGCAAGTGCAGACCGCGCGTTCTGGCCGTGAGTCCGGTGGTGAGAGCTCGGCCCTTCTGGGAACCGGCCGAGGGCCCACTGCGCAGTCTCAGCGACACGCCCTGCCGTCGGGACACTCCGTGTGCTCCCTTCTGAGGTCCTGCACACTCCGTGGTCTCCCCCGTACGTCCTGTCAGCCCTCGTCAAGGGGACGCCTCCACCCCACGGCCCCTCCATCGCTTTCTCCATTCAGGTCAGCATGGCACGTGCAGAGCGGTACACGCACGTTCGCACGCACGGGGCCGTGTGCCGCATGAGCACGGCTCGTGAAACACGCCCCCATGATGCCCAGCGGCCCTCAGATACCCTCGAGCTGCTCTGCCCCCCTCGCAGAACGGGCGCCCCGTCCCATTAGCTCCCGGCAGGGCGACGCCCGTGCCCGGAAACAGTGACATTCACCCCCAAAATGAAACTTGGAAGGCGTCCACTCACCGCAGACTCTGCTCATTGCCAAAATGATGTCCTCGTACACTGAAAGGGAAGCAGACGCCGTTACCCCGCGTCCTGCCGGGGAGCAGGCCCTCGCGTTCCGTTACACCGACGGGGACTCGGACGTTCGTTTGGAAACGGAACAGGAAAATGGGAATATCTGTCCCCGAAAGGCTGAGGTGTGATAAATCCTTCCACCCGGTCCACTTGTTCAACAAGGAACAAGAACGTGTCACCCAACACACAGCCAGCTGTGTAATTAGACCACTTGTCACCGCGTCAATCATCCCAGCGTTAGAATTAGGATAAAACTTGGCGTATGATGATGGACCAAGATGACATCTCGCAGAAACCCAAACGGCTATCACACATTTTTCTAAAACACTGAAGCAGCTTTGCCCTGGCCGGTTTGGCCCAGCGGTTAGAGCGTCGGCCTGCGGTCCAGAGAGACCCGGGTTCGGTTCCCGCTAAGGGCACGAACTTCGGTTGCAGTTTGTCCCCGGCCCTGGTTGGTCGTGCGGGTGGCAGCCACTCGATGTGTCCCTTTCACATCGATGTTTCTCTCTCTCTCCCTCTCTCTCCCTCCCACTCTATCTGAACAAAAAATGGAAAAATGTCCTCGGGTGAGGATAAAAATAAATAAATAAATAAAACACCGAAGCGGCTTTGAATGCGACCAAAGTACACATCTACGTTCTCGTCCTGCCGTGGCTGAAACACCTGCGTGTGGCGGCCGCGGACACGGACCAAGGTCCCCGAGGACATGGCTCGTCCTGGGGACAAAACGGATTTCTTCTCAGCAGAACACACAGGTTTCCTTGTACCTTTGCCAGCTATCTCGAGGGTAGACACGTCTTGACCTCTGTCGTCCTTCAAGGTCGCCTTGTATTCACCGTGGTCCTTCTTTGACAACTACGAACAAAGCACATTCCGTGTGCAGGTAAAGTCCCCATCACAGTATAGAGGGTAACACCTGCTAACACAGTTTCTCTGTGAACCACCGAGACCCAGATGCAAACGAGGAGACAAAGCAGGTTCCCGCGTCCTCTGAGAGCCCGTGGGCTGGCTCCCGGGCCGCCCGTCGGTGCCGCCACCCACCTTCGGTATGAGCAGCTCACAGACGCCCCTCTCCAGGTCAGGCAACTGCTCCGTCTCGTACAGAGCGTCGTCCTTCAGCCACCGGAACACCGTTTCTTTCTTGGTGTTGGCGACCTACAAGGCAGAGACCTTGCGTTGAGTCGGTGAATCACTCTGGCTGGTAAGAAAAATGTCTGTTCCAATTTTAAAGCACAGGCCTTAAAAAGAATCGATTTTTCTGCTGGACACTCTCGGACAGAGGCTCATGGGAAGCGGCCAGTCCTAACCACGGCGCAGACATTTCTAAGTCCCGACCTCTGGAAGAACCAGCCCTCGTGCTGGCACAGGGAAGGGGTCCCCCCTGCACGCCCACGGAATCAGATGACCCTCTGGTGGGTGCAGAACGTCAGGAACAAACACAGGTCCCGCCCGGCCCGTGTGGTCAGCGGCTGGAGCGTCAGCTCGCAGACCAGAATCGAGGGTTTGACTCCGGTCAAGGGCAGGTACCTCAGTTGCGGTTCATTCCCGGCCCTGGTTGGGGTCATGCTGGAGGCGGCCAGTCTATGTGTCTCTCTCACATCGATGTTTCTCTCTCTCTCTCTCCCTCCCTCCCACTCTGTCTGAAGATGAAAGGGAAAATTTCCCCGGGTAAGGATTTCAAAAATAATTAAATCAAGTTATAAGCAATGCATTTTAAATGTTTAAATAATGTAAACTGTTCCCCGAGGTCTGTAACCCTGTTTCTCGGGCGGTGGGGCAGCCACAGAGAGGGACAGACACCTGCACCCAGATCAGCCCAGTGGGGGTGAGGGTTTTCCTTCTCCTAAAGTCTCTGACGTTGGCGACACCTGAAGCCCAGCTGCACTGGCTGCACCTCCCGCCCCGCCCTGCCCGCCGTGCTGCGGCCGGAGACATCGCTTCCCCTGCACGGGGGGCACTGACCACACCGGGCCCGGGCACTGAGGATGTGCTCTCACGCCCCACGTGGACGCCAGGCAGTGGACACAGAAGCCTGGCGTGTGGCTCAGGGGTGAGCGCCCACCCTGCACCAGGAGGTCGCCGGTTCGATTCCCGGTCAGGGCATGTGCCCAGGTTGTGGGCCTGATCCCCAGTGGGGGGCGTGCAGGAGGGTCTGAGCAATGTTCTCTCTCATCGATGTTTCCATCTCTCTCTTCCTCCCTCTCTAAGATCAATAAAGAAAACATATTTTTATAAAAACACACGTTCCAGGTGACTGCGTCGCTGTGTGCCGTGCGGACGACGGGAGCACGTGACCCCCAGACGGCAGGGAAGCTTTGCCTTGACCGGCCCCGAGCGCGGCAGAGCCTGGTGCAGGGAAGCGAGTCCACGAATGTGTGGAGTCCGTGCAGGGAGCGTCCCCTCGGCACGGGAGGCCGGGTCCGCCCTCTGAAGTCAGACCCGAGTTGGTAGCAAACGGTAGGATGGACAGTCACCAAGCAATTCTAGCCGATGGCGCCCTTAGCCCAACATTTCGAAGCCTCCCCCAAGGCCATGTCCAGGGCGAGCCACCCCCAACCACTCCTGACGGCAACTCGGGACTTGTTCTCCGTGCACACAGACACCTCCAGCGGCCTTCACCTCTGCGCTCCAGATCCAATGCCCGGGGCGGATCTGTCTGTCCTGGAGCTGGCGGGGTGCCTCGTGCCCTAAATATCCGCTTGTCTCTTCTGCAAACTCTGCCCTTTCTCGCTGCCTCTGTCCACGCACGGGCCCCTGAGGGGACCTCAACACCCAGAACAGGGGACGACACCCTCGCTCCTGAGACACGACAGGCACACGCGAGTTCCCCGGGAGACTTTGTCCTGAGTGATTGAAGTCTCCCCTCAAAGTTGGCTTTGAAGTGGTTTTCTGTGGCCTCATAAGAATATGTCCTCACGTAAGTTCTTCTCCGTGGGTTTCACGTCAGTAAATTAAAAAATAACTATCTGGCCCGGCCAGTGTGGCTCAGTGGTGGAGCGTCGACCCTGCACCAAGAGGTCGCCCATTCGATTCCCGTCAGGGCACATGCCCAGGTTGTGGGCCTGATCCCCAGTGGGGGGCATGCAGGAGGCGGCCAAATGTTCTCTCTCATCCATGTTTCTCTCTCTCTCCCTCCCTTTTACATTTTACAAATTGTAAAAACAATTTGTAAATGACTGCCTTCCAACGTGCTGTGCTGTGAGAACTGGAATCCCAGGAAGGTAGGGGCACAAGCGCGTTCAATTGCAAAGTGGTCAAATCTCAAGCCCTGTGTGTTCAGTTTCTCCAGTATCTGTGTTTAAAGATCTGTGAACCGCTTTGGGAAGGGGCCTCAAATATCATCGCTATTCCCAGTGGGCTATGCGCCGAGATGGCGCCACGGTGGCGTGAAGCGAGCTCCGTTCCCCCGGCGCCCCCTGCCCGGGTCACCCGCCTGCTCTCTCAGTGCGGACCAGCCGAGGGCGGACTCTGCCGTCGTGTCCAAGCACCTGGAGAGACCTCTGTGCACAACGGTCACCGGGAATTGCCGTCCCCACATACGCAGCGAGCAGCCCCTCCGTCCTCAGCACAACCCGTGGTTCCCCTGCGGCCCCTGGCTTCTCCCTCCTGGAGCTAGACCCCCCCCCCCAGCTCACCTGAAACCTGTGCCATCTGACTAACCCATCACCCATGCATTTAACCTCAGATATTTTCTTTAAATCTAGGTGCTTTTGAAAGAAATCTCTACAAGCCTGAGCACGGGAAACACGAGAACTTCGCCCCGGTTACCGCTACGACGAGATGCAGACGCAGGATCTCTCGTTCCCATCACAGACACTGGACGCGGGAAGGGTGACGTGTCCGAGTTAAGAGTCACCGGGAAGAGGCCGAGGGGTGACCAGCCCTGGTCCAGCTCTCGTCTCCAATCTCCCGACGGCCCCTCTTCATTCAAACCCTCCCCAGGCTCCTAACTCAACTAGGAGTAGACACAACCCCAGCGACTGAGGACACCTGCCCTCCCGGCCTCTGGGCAGCTGACCCGGCTCGGGCCGGGTCCATCCCAGAGCTCACGCCAGGGCCCCGGGCCACCTGGAGAAATCCCCGCGGACACACGTATCTGAGCCACGGCCAGTTTTCTCGGGGCAGCGGACCCCAGGGGCCCTTCCGCTCTCAGCGATGAGTTCCCCCTCCCGTCGCCTCAGGGATGATCACAGCCCGGACCCGCTCCGGGCACACCGGACGCCTCTGCCTCCCGCCTCTCTCCACCGGCAACAGGAGAACCAACCACCTGTGCACACACCTGTCCATGCTCCTCAGTGTCATGTGCTCTCACCCACCCTGTCCTGACCATGCGTGCTCACCCCTCGGACAGGGGCCGCTCCCACCTGCAGCCCCACCCTTCCGTCCCTTCCGTCGGGATATGACTGACACCACTGCGTAAGAGGGTGCACACTGCTCCATACACGTAGATACTGAGAAATGGTGGCTACAGTGTCAGTCAGCACACCCGTCCCTCACTAGTCACTGCGCACGCGTGTGGGTGTGTGTGTGTGGGGGGACATTCCACACCTACTCATCAGCACCTCTCAAGCAGGCCCGACAGCCTGTTAGCTGTGGTCCCCATGTGTGCATCACTGTCCCCCTCCCCAAGCTGAAGCTCTGTCCCAGCGAAGGGCAACTCCTCGCCTCCCCCCGTCCAGCACCACCAGCTACCTCCCGTCTATCAGTTGGCTACTTCCGGACCTCCTGTGTGCGGGGTCACACAGGGCTGTCCTGTCACCTCACAGGGCAGTGTCCCCAAGGTCACCGTGGGGCAGCCGCCGTCAGAATTCCCTTGCTTTTAGGGCTGAAAAATAGCTCAGGGTTTGTTTACGCCAGGTTCCTTCCACCCACCGTCCAGCGACGGGCACGGTGCTCCCCTTTGGCTGTGATGACGCCCGCTGCCATCCACGTGGGTGTGCACAGGCCTGTCTGCGTCCCTGCCTGCAACTCCTTCGACGCCGGAACTTATGGGAATCCCGCTTCCTCCCCCGAGGAGCTGCACAGGGCTGCCCTCCGTGGCCAGCTTTGTCCGTGCTCCTGTGACCTGGCTTCCAGACCCCATACTCTCCTCGCAGCTTCTCCGGGCTGGGGCACCCCCGGAGCCTGCTGCCTGGTGACCCACGCAGAAACCACGCGTGGAGGACCTGCCTGTCTGCTCTCCTCTCTCACCCCCTGGGCTGTGAGCGGCGGGGACACGCCAGGCCTGGCTGGTCTTTCCTGCCTTCCCCAGCGGTAGTCACAGCGCAGGGCCTCTACGTTCGAGTTCTCCCCCAAACACAGAGTTTTGCATGTAGTAGTCATTAAACTTAGGAAGCATCTTATTCCTGCAACACACCTTTCTTTGCTGAAGAAATCATACAAACAGTATGGAAATTACCAAACTTCATCATAGCACACTTTCCCATAAATGCACCTCCTGAAATCTTCCATAAATATCTGTATAAACTACCCACTCGAAGCATCTGTTTCGTGACACTGTGACCTGTTCATGAAGGACCAGGACAAGATGGAAAGTCTAAGGGCTAAAATGTTCAAGGACCCAAGAGTCGCTCCGTCCCCGCCCACACCTGACCCTACAGCACTGTCTCAGCCTCCGTGCTCCCCTGAGGCCCCCTGAGACACCCCTGAGGCCCCCCAGATCCCCCTGAGGCCCCCCTGAGGCTCCCCAGGCCCCCGAGGCCCCCTTGAGGCCCCCCCACGCTCACAAGAATGGGGGCCACCACTTGGTTTCAGACCTGGTCTCACCTTACAGACAAGTCGGACTTCACATTCTTCTGTAACGTCCCAGTGCAAATACTCAGCAAAGTGAGGGCCTGAGGGGGGAGGGGGAGAAGTTTAAAAAACGTAAAAAACGAATAATATATATTATATATATTAACACATGCATGTGTATACTTACATACATATATGTGTGTGTATATGTATATGACTGTGTGCATGTGTGTATTGTTTTATATATGTGTATATATGCATATGTAAGTGTGTGCATATATGTGTATACATATATTTGTGTGTATGTGTGTGTATACTTACATTGTATATATGTGTGTGTGCATGGATATGGGTGTATGTATATGTATGTGTGTGCATGTGTGTAGGTGCTTTATGTATATATGTATATGTGTGTCTGTGTTTGTGTGCATGTGTGTGTCCATGTATATTTGTGTACATTCTGGCCAGAGGAAACAGCTGTTTAGAATGAGCAGAGAGAACTAGTTTCCAGGCTCTGAAACACATGTGTGCAGACTGACCCCCACTGGAACCTGGATTTCCCCATGGGAACCATTGCCTGACCTCTCCTGCAACCTCTCATCTCTCCTGCTCTTTAGAGAGAAGGAGAAATCACACTTCTTTTCTCCAGGCACAGGTCTACCGAAGGCCATGGCACAGTGAATCGAAGCTTTAAAATAGGAGAATTAATAGAGGTGAGGTGGAAAAAACGCAGCTCAACCTAGAAATGTTGTAAATGCATATTATCTTGAAATCAAACATAGATTTAGGTTTTTTAAAAACATCATTTTTATCTAAAATAAATGTGGGAGGAAACTGTGTACTAGTAACAATAGCATCAGCCCACTCCACACAGAAACACAGGCAGGTTGGAGAGGATCGACTTCTTTCAATATTCTACAAAGTCAGAAAGTGCTTACTGTAGAAATGCGTGTAATAAATGTTTTGCTATTAAAAATAAAAATAACTAAAAACAACAGAAATAAAAAGAATGTCTTGATGTTATATTTTATAATCCATATTCTAATTTTTTCAAAAGACATAAATTACATATAAAAGTCCCATTTAAAAAATTAGCCTTTGGCCCTGGCCGGTTTGGCTCAGCGGTTAGAGTGTCGGCCTGCGGTCCTGAGAGACCCGGGTTCGGTTCCCGCTAAGGGCGCGTACCTCGGTTGCAGTGTGTCCCTGGCCCTGGTTGGTTGTGCGGGTGGCAGCCACTCGATGTGTCCCTTTCACATCAATGTTTCTCTCTCTCTCTCTCTGTTCCTCTCTCTCCCTCCCACTCTACCTGAACAAAAAATGGAAAAATGTCCTCGGGTGAGGATAAAAAAAAAAAAAAAAAAAAAATTAGCCTTTGCATTATTTCTCATATTCTAAAATTTATCCATTTTACTTTGTATCTAGAAGGTATTCATTTTTAAAAACAATATATTTTAAATGTACTGTTTGCAGTTAAACACTTAAAACATTTATAAGTTAAAACATTCCCACAATTTTAGGCAAAACAACAAATTCCTGGCCATTAGAATAGCTTCTGCTGTCCCCTCTGCATTTCGAAGGCTAATAATGACCCTAACTCACCCTTTTTTGTCAAAATGCTGGACTCCGTCTGGACACGTGAGACGGGCCCCCTTCCCTCCTCACCACCCTGTCGTAAAGTCGTTCCCTTAAAGCCCCTCTGGTAAGTCCTGAGCTCAGCCCATGAGACATGTTATGGAAGCTGCACAAGACGCAGGAGCTCAAGGTCACCAACGCACAGCGACAGGCTCGGCAGGGCGCGCCAGCGGAGCCCGGGGCACGTGGGCATGAACGCCCAGCCTGGACTCGGAGGGGTGGCCCAGGCGGGCCAGACTGCAGAGGACTGTGCCGGCCAAGGGAGCCCGAGCGGCCCTGGCGTGGAGGGAACAACTTGGTTCAGCAGCAGGAGCCTCCGTTATCTGACAGGTGCGTCTTCCTTTCACGGAGAGTCTGGCATGAAGAACTCCTACCGGAAATGCGCGTGTGGAAAACATATCTCCCGGCCGTGTGTAAAAAAGACTAGTTAGTTAGCTAGTTAGTTGGCAAGTCAAAAAGTACCCAGATGTCTAGAGGTGAGAAAGGAGCTGAGTCCCGGCTCACTGACGGTGTTGCTCACTGGGCATCGTGCAGTTTGCTGTAAACAAACATTCAAACCTTTGCCCTTCGTGTGGGCTTCTCGTGGGCGAGGCCGCAATGCCTACCTTGTTTCCTGAGGAACTCTTTCCTCTGGAATTCAGCCTCCTCCAGGATGGCCTTGAATGCTAAATTCAACATCAAGGGGGAGAGAGGACATGAGACATGTGTGCTTCTCTCTGGTCAGCAGACTGTGCTGAGCACTTTCCTGCAGAGACCGGCACCGGCTACCGTCTGGGGGGGGGGGGGCACCCCGCCTACCGTCTCCCATGAGCACCGGGGAGGACCAGGCACCTGCCTACCGTCTCCCATGAGCACCGGGGAGGACCGGGCACCCCACCTACCGTCTCCCCTGAGCACCGGGGAGGACCGGGCACCCCGCCTACCGTCTCCCATGAGCACCGGGGAGGACCGGGCACCCCGCCTACCGTCTCCCATGAGCACCGGGGAGGACCGGGCACCCCGCCTACCGTCTCCGATGAGCACCAGGGACGACTGGCTCTTGGCTTTGCCATCATGCAGCTGCACTGTGTAGGTGCCCTCGTTCTCCGCGGTGAACTGATCCATCACCATTTCGATGATGCCGGTCGACTTGTCACATTTAATTCTGTGCTTCTGGCAGCCGTAAAGGAAACAGAATTCCACAGTGAGATTCCCTCCCCACACTTCTCTCTGACGTGGGACGGGCCCATCAGCTCCTGTCTCTCAAAGGATCAACACACCAAAACACATTGTATCCACTAAACCTCTCGGTGCACCATGCACCAGACATCAAATAAGGGACACAATGTGCAATCAGGAAGAAACCCCAGTCCCGTGGTGGTGGGGGGGCCTACAGCACAAGGGCTTCTGCTGAAACTGCACCCCTTCAGACACGCCCCTAGCCTCTCAGACACGCCCCTAACCCCTCAGACACGCCCCTAACCCCTCAGACACACCCCTAGCACGTCAGACACGCCCCTAACCCCTCAGACACGCCCCTAGCACCTCGGACACGCCCCTAACCCCTCAGACACGCCCCTAACCCCTTAGACACGCCCCTAACCCCTCAGACACGCCCCTAGCGCGTCAGACACGCCCCTAACCCCTCAGACACACCCCTAGCACGTCAGACACGCCCCTAACCCCTCAGACACACCCCTAGCACCTCGGACACGCCCCTAACCCCTCAGACACGCCCCTAACCCCTCAGACACGCCCCTAACCCCTCAGACACGCCCCTAACCCCTCAGACACACCCCTAGCACGTCAGACACGCCCCTAACCCCTCAGACACGCCCCTAGCACCTCGGACACGCCCCTAACCCCTCAGACACGCCCCTAACCCCTCAGACACGCCCCTAACCCCTCAGACACGCCCCTAACCCCTTAGACACGCCCCTAACCCCTCAGACACGCCCCTAGCGCGTCAGACACGCCCCTAACCCCTCAGACACACCCCTAGCACGTCAGACACGCCCCTAACCCCTCAGACACACCCCTAGCACCTCGGACACGCCCCTAACCCCTCAGACACGCCCCTAACCCCTCAGACACGCCCCTAGCGCGTCAGACACGCCCCTAACCCCTCAGACACGCCCCTAACCCCCTTGGACACGCCCCTAGCTCCCTTGGTCAGACACCAAACCCCTCAGACAGCACCTAGCCCCTCCAACACGCCCCCGAGGTCACTCCCAGCCCCAGACAAGCGAAGGGACACGTGGGGGGAAATGGAACAAAGGTCACACGCTGCAGCACGGTGCCCCTCACAGCTACAGTTGTCCTCAGCTCCCAAGGACTGCGAGCCACGGGCTCCCCCAGCGCTGCGCTGACCAGGGCGCAGAACCGCAGGTGAGGGAGCAGAGGCTTTTCCGGAAGAGGCTGGAGGGGGCTTGTGCGTTTCCAGCACCTATGCTCTCCCCCGCGCCCCTGAGCCCGGGGCCTGGCCGGGCACAGCCTCTCCAGGCTCACCAGCTGGCTGCACCTGGGCCCGGGCCCCTCGGAACTGGCTCAGGGAGGACTCTCCTGGCCGTGTCCTTAGATGTCAGCTGGGCCCATGGCCCCGGGCTCGCCCACAGCACCCCATTCCCATCACTGGACTCCGGGCCAGCCGTGGTCTGTCGTGCTGGGGGTGAGCCCTTGAGAACTAGACTGTGTCCCCTGTGACCTCGCAGCACCTGCAGGGGCCTGGCAGGCAGCACATCCCACACACAGGCTGGGAAGCATCAACGAGCCAGTATCGGCTCCTTTGTGCTGTGGCGCCAAGTTGGCCGCCGTCTCCCGAGGCTACTGAGTGATGACCGGCGAGTTCCCTCCAGGACTGGCTTTGACCTGGCACCGCCCACCACTGCCCGGCAGACTCTGGGGCCTGGGTCACTTCGCGTGGTCCAGCAGCTCCGCCCATGCTCAGGGCTGGGCCTCCCGGGCAGCTCTGGCCACGTGCGGATGGCGGGGTGTGGCCCCGTCCACCCCCAGTTCTCCCTCCTCAGAGTCCTTTCAGGAATCCCCGGCCCCGAAATCCCTCCCACGACTGCAGCTTCTCCGAACCTCGGGTCCTCTGGACTCAGACAGTGATCGTGGTTCTGTTTCAACACCCGAGCCCTGTATTGTTCTGTGCCACGTCCTAACCCGAGCTGCAGGCTCTGTACCACTCCCAGATCCCTGCAGGCGGCACCTCTGTGTCTCCCGTTGCTGTCCGCAGACCACCCAGAACGATTTGCAGGAGTGGGGACCTAAGTCCTCAGGAAAGGAACACGCAGCTCTGAGCTCCCAGGGCTGAGCCGGACGCTTCATCAAATAGCCTTTCAGGTCTGAGCGGAACCCAGGCCCCAGCCCAGGCCAGGGCGCCCAGTAAACAGACGAACGCTCACCCTCCCCGTGAGAAATCCCGTTACTCCAAATACGTCCTGGGACGTGGTCATTTAGAATTTTCCTAAACAGACTCTGGACCAGAAGTTGGTGCACAAACAATAGTGAGAGACGGAAGAGCATGGGAAAGCCCGACCTCGGATCGCTTGAGAGAGAGAGAGAGAGAGAGAGAGAGAGAGAGAGAGACCATTTTAAGAAAATGCATTGATTACAGCCCTGGCTGCTGCTTTGGCTCAGCAGTAGAGCATTGGCGTGTGGACCAAACAGTCACGGGTTTGATTCTGGTCGAGAAAACCTGTTGCGGTTTAGTCCCCAGCCCTGGTTGGAGCTGTATGGGAGGCAGCCAGTCGATGTGTCCCTCTCCCCCTGATGTGTGTGTCTCTCCCCCCCCCCCACTCCCACTTTGTCTGAAGATAAATGGAAAAAAGTATCCTTGGGTGCAGATTAAAAAAAAAAAAAATGCATTGATTACAGGAGGTGGTGACACACTGTCCCCTCCCTGGAGACCCAAGTGCTTCTTGGGGACAAGACGCAGGAAGGGACAGCTTTGCAGCAGCCCTTGGCTTTCTCTGTGGCTCTAAGTGTTTGCTTCTGAGCTTGGGGGACACGTCGAGGCTGGGTCACGGCTCCGCACGCAGCCTACAGAGTCCCTGCAGGAACTGAGACTCCCCCAGACACGCGAGCAGAATGGGGCAGTGTCTGCAGCACAGCACGGGGTCCCTTGGCGGCCCCTGCTCTCTGTGCCCAGGGCGCCAGGAGAGCAGCCGTAAAGTGAGGAAGGAGCAGAAAGAGGTCTCCCCTGGAGCTCTCGGCGGGAGCCCCCACAGCCACTGCCGAGAATCCATAACTGGGCCCTCGAGGGGGTTCCCACCCTCCCACGTAACCAGACGTCTCCAAAGATGGATAGTCTTTTTTTAGTCTCCACAGGCTTGGATTTTAAAGACTCCTGATCTCTGATCTAACCCAGAGCAAATCTCTGATGAGGGCAAGAGTCAACCACCTCTCTCATCTCATCGACTTTCCACACCCCAATTTCTACAGGTCCAACAGGACAGAACACACAGTGGTGACCATGAGCAGGTGACCCACCAAAGCCAAGTCAGCCCTCTGTGGAGCCAGGACACCCCCCCCACACACAAACACATTCACATGCACACTCACACACACATGCACAAACTTACACATACATGTGCGCACACACTCATACACACGCGCACACATGCACACTCACACACGCATGCACAAACTTACACATACATGTGCACACGCACACTCATACACATGCACTCACATGCACACTCACACACATGCACAAACTTACACATACATGTGTGCATACACACTCACACACGCACAAACTTACACATACATGTGTGCACGCACACACATGCACTCACATGCACACTCACACACATGCACAAACTTACACATACATGTGCACTCGCACAAACTTACACATTCACGTGCGCATGCACACAGATGCACTCACATGCACACTCACACAGACTCACACACACACAAGCACTCACATGCACACACACATGCACTCACATGCACACTCACACAGACTCATGCACACACATGCACTCACACACACGCACACACATGCACACTCACACAGACTCACACACACACAAGCACTCACATGCACACACATGCACTCACATGCACACTCACGCAGACTCACCCACACAGACGCACTCACATGCACACTCACACACACACACACACACACATGCACTCACACGCACACACACGCTCACCTCGCTGTCGGAGACTTCCTGGTCGTTAATAACGAAGCGGAAGCCGGCGTCCGGAGACAAGTGCTGTGCCTGCAGCCAGAAGCGCACCTGGCCCTTGTCGAGGACCTCATAGGCCAGCTCTGACTTCAGAGGGATGGCTGCCGGGAGAAAGGGGACCACCGGTCAGCACCGTGCAAGCCCTGCGGGGAAGGGGAGCTGCCCACTGTAGGAAACAGCCGCTGGTTATTCAATCTTCTGAGAATGTGAAGCCCAAAGTACTGAAGCGGATTATGAAGCCCAAACCAAGAACCACAGCCCAGCGATGAACCCAGCGTTGGCTTCAGGGGAAGAGATGATGAGCCATAGGCTGGAGCAGGGCGTGGCCACCCTCCCACGTGCGCCCCGCCGCGCACACGGCCCGGACACGCCGCCCGCCCCGCGCAGCCCCGTGGCCGGGCTCACTTACTGGGGTTTTTTATCTCATTGCTCAGCGCCATCAAACGGTCAAGCTCTATAAGGAAGAAAAAGACGTCCGTTGGCTTCAACCTCTACGTTCCGAAGTTGCAAACAATTATGAGGCTGAGGACCGCAGACACTGAGGTCACCAGATGTAACCAGGTGTGAAGGAAATTCCCACTAGAAGGGAAGGACGTGGAGGTAACGACCCTCCAAACCCTGTCTTCGGGGAGCTAGTGGTTCCCCACTTACTACAGGGGCCGCTCAGGACGCGTCAGGGCAGAGGCCTTGGGGCGGCGGGGTGGGGCGTGGGCAGGAAGTGCCTGGAAGAGAAGGTCTGTTTCCAGGTCTGTTATTTCCACAGGACCGCCTTCCTCAAGCTGATCGGCTGAGGACACGCTGGTGGTCAGGGCTGCCGCCCCCTTTCGAAGGTCCTTCTCCCACGTCTCTCTCCCCCACCAGGGTTCCACCGCGAGGGAACCCATCGCAAACGCAGAGCGTCCCAAGAGCAAATTAACAAACATGAGAGGTTCTAGGCCACTCGTCCCTCCCTCCCTCCCTCTTTCCCTCCTTAATATCAGAGTTTAGACCTGAGATCGTGGTCACAAAGCCACATATGAACACACTTATTGGAGCTAAAAATGAAGCCAGACTTCCTGACAGAAGTAAACTCAGTCTGGCGGCTGGTCTGGGGCGAGCTCGGACCCTCCCAAGAGGGTCAGAAGCTGGAGCTTCCGCAGATGGGACGAGCCAGGTCTGCAGCTCCCATGTGTTGCCTGAAATACATTAACGTCCACATTCAGCATCAAGGATGCTGGAAGTGTCTCCTTGGCAACTATGTAAACTAAGGGAACCGTCTCCTGGAGCCTTTAAAATGGTGCAGAGATGTGCATCGCTCTTCAGAATTCTTTAAGGGTGTTTTTGCGTTAAAAAAAAACAAAAACAATTTGGAGCACTGTGTTAGGGTCAGAGGAGGCTGCCCAGGGCATGGTGAGGGCCAGCCCACAGAGGACCCCAGGAAGCAGAGCGAGGACCCTGCTCTGTTAAATTCGCAGGAGCCGACCTGAATCCACCCAGCATCTGAGCCAGACGTGCAGGGGCCTGAAGCCATCGGGGTGCTGTCCCCAGCCCACGGACACCCATCCTGTGCCAGGTGTCCTGGGGACCACACTCTTAGCAGCCGCCGCCCGAGATGCCCCCTGTAGGGAGGGCTCATTCCGCCAGCTGGGATGTCCCCGGGCAGGCATCTCAGCCGAGGCCTCGGGTCTCACTGAAGACCCAAAACACAGGACCTCAGGCTCCTGCCCGGCGCTACCAGCTCACTCCAGAGCCGGTGCGGCTGACCCTGACCTGGGGAACGGGCAGGTCAGGGGGGACAGGTCAGTGAGCCCCGGCAGGAAACAAATCGCCTCTGAGATTTGCAGACCGGCCTACAGGAAACTCGCTTTTTCTGGGTCCCGGTGAACAGACACCTCCCCCTTTTCTGCTGCTGTCTCCCCGCAAGGGACTGCGGTGCTTCCTGAGTCACATGCCCCTTCACACAGATTCGTGTACACCTGTTCTCTGTCCCCCGAGGGTTCGCGCTGGGACACGGGGGTCTCGTTCCTCCGGGGTGTGCGCCGCATCAATTTCAAGGGCGTATTTGCTAACAAGCCACTTCCTGCCGGGGGAGCTGCTGAAGTGTGACCGCAGCTCCGCCGTTCCGACAGCCCCCCGGGGGCCGCATGTCCCGGGACAGCCTTGGTCTAACTTCTCACGTAGTTTTCGACTTCTATAAACAGCCCCACCCCCAGGCTCCCCCACACACCCCTTTTCCTCAGCAAACACGGCTGTTCGACATCACTGCCACCCTCTGAGGGGGCCGTAAACCCAGAGAGGTCTCCTGGTCACGCAGACGTTACCTTTCTCATCCAGGACAAAGCTGGAGGACACCCCGTCCGTGTCGCTCACGGACACCGAGTAGGTCCCCAGGTCTTCTTTCTGCGGATTCTTGAAGTACAGCTTCGAGCTGAGGGGCAAGAGCAGGCGCGTGCGTCACCCGGGTCCGTCCGCCCTGCTCCGAGGTCGCACGGCCACCTGCCCGCGAGACTTACTGGTCCCCGACGGTCTCCACCCGGAACTTGTCGTCGTCGGCGATCTCCTCGTAGGATTTGCACCAGGTGAAGGCGGAGGCGTCCGTCATCTCTGGGCAGTCGAAGCTCAGGTAGATGTCGCCTTGCTCGTCCACGCCGGCGCTGACTTCCTTTGTGCCTGCGGGCGAGGACCCAAGACGAGCCCGTGAGACGCAGGGACACGCCGGCGGGGCCCCGGTCTGAGAGGGGTGGCCCGGGACGATCGGACGGCACGGTGAACCTCCCGCTTTCTGCACCGTGCACCCGGGCGTGGGCTCACGGGGGAGCCGGCTGCTCTGGGCGGCACACAGGCAGGGGCTTCGGGGTTTGTGCTGAGTCTTCACGCTTCTGCCCGTCTCCGTCCCCGCGTCCGGGACAACTGGGCGTCACCCCTTGGGGCTGCCATAAAGGCCCCCTTTTTTCCCGAGATCAGCCCCTCACGGCCCTGGGCACCGGGCAGCCAGTCACACGGGTTGGTTTCATCCCTCACTGGCTCCTCTTTGCCCACTTTTTTCGGAAGGAAGAGGAAGTTATTTGGTTACTTTTTAACCAAGGTGGACCCCTGGCCCCACGCAGGCCTGTGAGAACCTACTCTTAGGAATTAGGAACTGGAGGTGGCTCCCCGGCCTCTGTGCGTGTGACCGGGGCCAGGCAGACACGCGTGCGGCCACCGGGGGATGTGGACGCACGGACGCCAGGGGGAGGCGACAAGGACCCTGTGTCTGCGGTCTGGGCGCACCCCTTTCTGTGCTCAGACACCCCCCCACACACACATCCTGACGCTTCTCTCCCCCCTCGGAAATACGTCCAAAAGTCACCCAGGGCTTTGTCCTGCCTGCACCACATTTGGCCGTGATGTGAAAAGGCACCTCGCCAAAGAAAGGGCCGCCCCTCACACGGGCCGGACCCGCCGACATGCCCTCTCCTGTCCCGTGGGGGAGCCCCGGCCCGTGTGGCTCAGCCGGCAGAGCCTCGGGTTCGGCCTGAGGCCCCAAGAGTCACAGGTTCAATTCCCAGCCAAGGGCATGTATCTGAGTTGCAGGTTCAATCCCCGGCCCTGGTCGGGGTTGTTCCGGAGGCAACCAATCAGTGTGTCTCTCTCTCCCTTCCTCCCTCCCTCTCTCTCTAAAAATCAATGAAAAATATCTTTGGATGAGGATTTTTAAATAGAAGTGAATAAAAGCCGACAGGACACCCCTCCTCCCCGTCAGGCTCCCGTGCACACTCAGGGTGCCCTCCGCCCCCGCTCACCAGGCCTGGCCTCCAGGAGCACGGGCTCCGACGCGTCCGACGGCTTCCCCACGCCACTGGCGTTCAGGGCCCGCACTCGGAAGACGTAGGTTTTGCCCTGGTGAAGGTCACAGACCTGGAAACGACAGAGCCCTCATCCCGTGAGTCGATCGATGGAGATGACGTCATTCTTCACATCTTGTAAAGAACGTGCTTCCTTTTCTAAAAAAGAACACGGGCTGCTCCTTAGAACCGCGTGCGCAGTCCGCTAGGACCGGGCCAGGCTCACTCAGCACCTCACTGCCGGAGGACACGGCTTTCGACCATTTCCTTTGCATCCTCACAGATGTGTCTTCACCGATTTTAGAGAGAGGAAGGGGGGAGAGAGACAGAGAGGAACACTGAACGGTCCTCCTTACACACCCCAAGTGGGGCTTGAGCCTGCAACCCAGGTTGTGCCAAGCCCGCAACCTCTGTGTGCGCAGGAGGGGTCCCCAACCAGCCGAGCCATGTGGCCGGGGAGATGTGTGACGATTTTGATACGTTCTCTTCCTTTTTCCTCTGTGTATTTTGAAGCAGAATTAAAATCATGGTTTGTGGAATTATGCCACATAATTCTATGGGGCTGAAGACAACCCGAAACGTGAATTTTAACTGTGCACAGTGATCTACCACTTGGACACGTCACATGTGACCAGCGGCTGGTGCACCTGCTGACGATGCACCATCGGCTGCACTGGTGAGTGTGACAAAAGATGTATCTGCTCAATTCCTGGAGGATTTGCTTGGGTCCTCGGAACCTGATTCATTCACAGGGACCTGATGCTGTTCATCTGTCAACTGTTTTCTGGACAGCGGCTGCCGTCCACGCCCGTCACGGTGCCACCGTGGCCCCTGCGGACATGGCCTTTCTCTCGGGTGGGTGCCTGCAGCCTCTCCGTCCGGGTCACACCACAGAGCCCACGACCCACGGAAAAGGTTTCAGCTGGGCCACGAGCCAGGGAGACGGGCCTCAGGACGGTCGTCAAGCTGACCCAGTGACCGGTCCATTGAGGGGCTAAAATGGAAAGATCTGGAGAGAGGACAGAGCATTTCCCCACCACGAATGTGGTGAAACTTGTACGTGTGCGTGTGCGTGTGCATGCACACACATGTATGTGCGTGTGGTCAAGTAGACTGTCACCGATCTCAGCACGAAGAAGTCAGCGTGGGGCCTGCAGTGGGAACAATGGACACTAACCCCTGTGGAAGGACAGACCCGCCTGGGCTGACCCGCGAGGCCTCCGCTCACTCCGAGTGTCCAGGGTGCTAGACCACACTCTGGAGGTATCCCCACGGCCGCAGCTTTGAGGGCACCCCCGGCACCCACGTTCCCCGAGCTGGTCTGCGACAGGGATCAAAGCCCTGCTCCCCGCGGCCGTGGACAGCGAGGGAGCCCGCACCTTCAAGTAACGATTTGCTGTGGTTGCCTCGCTGACAGCCGTCCACTCTTCAGACTCCTCTTCCTTATAGTCCACGAGGTACCCCGACACGGGGCTGCTGCCGGCGTACACGGGGGCTTTCCACAGCAGGACCAGCGACGTGTCTCTGACCTCGCAGAAGGTCAAGTCGTAGGCAGGACCTGAAACGTGGCTCGGTCAGCACGTGGCTCGGTCAGCACGTGGCTCGCAGGGGCCACGGCCTGGGCCTGAGGACGCTGTTCCGCAGCAACACACTGGCCACCGACAGCACCACGGCCCCCGGCCACGTGCACAGGTCTCCTCTCCCCAGCAGGAGCGTCCGAGCGCGGTGCTGGGAGCAGGGCAGAGGCCCACTGGGCTGCACTGCACCCCTCGACCAGGCGTCAGGCGACACGGACACCCCCAGAGTGACGCGGCGTCCACATCACTGCTCTGGCCCAGCAGGATGGATCGTAGGGAGGGACGGCGCTCAGCAAGGGCGGGCACTGTCGTCCCCACCCTCTGGCGGGACACCTGCCTGTGACCTCCGGCCAACACTACACCTGCCACCACCGCCTGTCCCTCAGCGCTGCTTTCTGGGAGAAGCGGCCTGGGTGTCGGCCCTCCGGCAGGAGCCTCTGCAGGGGCCCCGGCGTGGGAAGTGGCCTCGCCCCACCCTCACCTCGCGCTCTCCCTGCACACCCCAGCGCTAACCACTGTGGGCTGGTCGCGGGGTCTGCACGCAGCCCCACCACAGCACAGGGCCAGTCACAGCCGCGGGGCCTGGCTCAGCAGGGCAACCCCGCCACCCAGGGCCGCGAGGGGACCCCGCCGCCTGCCGAGGCCGGGGGGCTGCTCCGACGGGGGGCTGGGCCGGCAGCCACCTCTCAGGCTGCCCCTGGGGCGCATGCGCTGGGCGTGTCCCGGACAGCGCCTCTTACCCGGTTCCGGCGCCGTCCAGGCCTCACACTTGAAGAGCTCGCTGGGGTCCGAGGGCTGCCCGATGCCCACCAGGTTGCTGGCAGCGATTTTGAATTCATACAGTGAGCCTTCGGTCAAGCCCTCCACCTGTCGGGCCGGGAGTTGAATCAAGACGTGAAATGAGAGCCAGCGCGCAGTCCTCTGCAGGAGAAGGTGCGCTTGGGACGGATTCACAGAATGACCACGAGGTGGGGGCCTGGCCGGGTAGACCACGGAGGTCACACACCCGCCTGTGGCGGTCACTACAGCACCTCACGCAGCCTCGCTCGCTCTGTGCAGAATGGCGTGGCGGTGCCGCCCCACGGGGGGGACCCGGCTCAGGGGTGGACGTCCCCGAGCAAGACACCTGCCCTGGGACGTCATGGGAGAGGCAGGCCACCTGCCCCCTCCTCCCAGCACACGGCTACGGGTCTGCTCAGCAGCAGGCGGGGCCGCTCTGCCCGGCCGGTCCCACAACAGTCAGAGGGCCTTCCCCAGAGTCCTCAGCCTGGGAAACCCGAGAGCCCCCCGCGCTCTGCTCTGAACCTAGGCTGCCAGAGGCCCGCAGAGAGAGCCCCCCGCCCCCCACCCCACCCCCACCCTCTGCTCCCCGCCCTCCTCGGGAGGAGCTGGCCTTCAGAGAGCCTCAGGCCCTTCTCTCCAGGGGCTCGACGGGACGGCAGCACAGGAAGCGTCAGAGGTCAACAAAGATGACTTACGGGGACAGTGAACCCCTTTTCCCACGGCTGTATTAATGGCCCTTCTCACCTGCCTCTACCACAGGGAAGAAGGGGTGGGGGACCCAGAGACAGGGCCCTGGGGGTGGCCGTCAGTCCTCACATGGGACAAATGGGGATGGAAGGCTCAGAGCAGACGGGGCGCCCCTGCTGCCCAGGGTTTGCCCCTGGACCCGATGCCCACCGTTCTCGCCCCACCGATGTTCTCGCTACTCCCTCCGGCTGGACACACTTGGACGGTGACACACTCAGAGGCTTGGAACGCAAGCGTCTCTGGGGAAACGGGGCCAACAAGCAGGCCCCCCCGTTCTTCCTCAACACCTGCTGAGCAGTCCCGGGGAGCGAGCAACGCAGCCGGGGCCAGGCCGGGGCCGGGCACTGAGCACAGCAGCAGCGTCGCTGACCACCACTCTAACCTGCTTTCTGCTCTCACTGCATCTCAGACTGAAACTCTCCCTCCAACCCCCAGGCGCCTCGAGACCCCACCATGCTTCTCAAACCCACTTTTGCTTCAGACTGAATTCTCTCGGGTCGCCGAGCTCTGGACCCCCAAATGAGGCCAGTGCCCACCACGCGGTGCCCCAGACCAGGCTCAGCGGACCCCAAGAACCCACCGTCAGGATCCTCTCCTTGATGGGCGAGGCATTGACTTCGTGCCAGTTTTTGTGCTGGGCCTCACGCTTGTCCACGAAGTAACCGAGGATGGCCGAGCCCCCGCTGAACCTGGGCACCTTCCAGCCGAGGGTCATGGAGTGGCCATCACAGTTCAGGAGCGTAATCCCGTACGGGTAGGACGGGACGGCTGCAGGGAGACCGCGGCCAGTTACCATCTCTGTGTCCGCCTCCCCCCCACCACGTGCTCGCGTGGCAGCCACGGGACGTGGCTCTGAGTGCTGGGCCCCCTGTCCTCTCTTGGCCTCCATTTGAACCATCTCTGTGTTTATCTATTTTTTCTATGAAAATTTAAAAATTCTCTCATATACATTTAAGGCTACTTCTAAACACATCTCCATTATTTCAGTGATACTGGGAGATGGATCATTTCACACCGGCCTGGAGGCTGGAAACACCAGGTTCTCCTCGGAGGGAAGCGTCTCCTTTCACACATGAAGACTGACAGCCGCCTCCCAGCCAGCACCGCAGGCCAGTCCGTCTCCATTCCTGCCTGGCCACGGGGGCCACGGGGGCCACGGGGGCCACGGGCTGGACCATCTTCTCCCGCAGGTGGAGAAGGATCTGCCTCTGCTCCCCCTTCACCCCAACGCTGAGTGGCCTCCATCCGGGCACCCCCTGTGCCCTGAGACCAGGTGAGCCGTGACTGATCTCGTCTCAGCATGGAATATAAATTTAAATGACTTTTCATCCCATAGAAAAGACTGATAAAAGCAGATGAAGTCTTGGCCAGTTTTGCTCAGCGGTTAGGGTGTTGGCCCTTGGACCACAGAGTCACGGGTTCGATTCCGGCCAAGGGCACGTACCTCGGCTGCGGTTTGGTCCCCGGCCCTGGTCAGAGTCGTGCGGGAGACAACCAGTCGGTGTTTCCCTCTCACCTCGATGTTTCTCTCTCTTTCTCTCTCCCTCCCTCCCGTTCTGTCTGAAGATAAATGGAAACAAATCCTCAGGTGAGGGTTTTTAAAAAAAGCAGATGAAAATGTTTGAAAGTCCTGGGGAAAATGGGGATCAGGATAATGACCTTGAAACAGAAGAATAGATTTTTTTTTTCTTTGCTGTATTTGCCAACCTGAGTGTCATCAGATCTGACATTCCTGGGAAATTCTAGAAACAGTATCCTCGGGAGAGAATCTCAACTGCTGAGGATGTTACTAAATTCTGTTGGAGCCAAAAATAAAGAGCAAACCATTCCTCAGAGTGCAAAGGTCATACATGGTCTGAAGGTGCTCTTTGGGACGTCCCGCCTCGGGCCTGCTGGTGCGGCACGTGGCGCCCCCTGTGGGACCCCCGGTGCAGGTGCGGGCACAGGGCGGGGCCGTCTACGTGCAGGACCCGGAGGGCTCAGCTCCATCAAAACAGTGGTGTTTTTTTTTTGTTTTTTGTTTTTTTTTTTATCCTCACCCGAGGATATTTTTCCATTTTTTGTACAGGTAGAGTGGGAGGGAGAGAGAGGAACAGAGAGAGAGAGAAACATCGACGTGAAAGGGACACATCGAGTGGCTGCCACCCGCACGATCAACCGGGGCCGGGGACAAACTGCAACAGGTACGCGCCCTTAGTGGGAACCGAACCCGGGTCTCTCTGGACCGCAGGCCGACGCTCTAACCGCTGAGCCAAACCGGCCAGGGCAAAACGGTGGTGTTTTTAAGACGGCTGTGAGCTAAGCCACGAAGTTACATAAACGTCGGGAATTCCCCGGGACCACTAGTTAAAGTTCCTTAAACCCGGAACAACTCAAAAGGCCATTGGTGCCGTTTTAATTCAGCCTCTGCTTTGAACAGAGAGTCCACGCCCTTCGGCGCGTGTTTTGCCGTGGACGTGTGAGCTGGGAAACAAGCGGGACCTCCCACGGCCAGCCGGCCCTGACCCCCGGCATTTCCAAGACAAGGAGCCGACCGCTGGGGCTTCGGCCGACCTGCCCGTCCCAGAATGCCTTGCACGGCTCCTCCCTCCGCGACAGTGACATGCAGCCTGAGGGGCGTGCGTGCGGGGCACACGCCCTGGCGCACGGGACACGGCAACCGTGGCGTCACTTACTGAGGGCGGCCTGGACCTTGATGGCGTCCGACTCCTGCGAGTTCTCGCTGGTGCCCACCGCGTTCACAGCTTTCACCCGGAAGACGTACTGCTCGCCCGTGGTCAGGCCGTGCACCACGAACCTGGGGACACACGAAGGGCGTGGCTGCCGGGTGTGGCCTTCCCCTCCCTGGGCAGAAACAGACGCGTGAACGGCCCCTAGAACGCTCCACCAGGATGGAAGGAACCGGTTTCTCTGAGCGGCTCACAGGTGCGTGACCTCTGCCCACGTCCCCGTCTTCGCTCGCGGATTGGGACCCACTGGCAGGGTCAGAGGTCAAGGCAGGGAACAGCCAGTGCTCACAGGCAGCAAAGCCCTCGCCGGCCCCTGTGGCCTCGCTCCGGGTCGTCACCCACGCTGGGCTCCCCCTTCATTCTCCTATTTTCCAGGTTTTTTCTGGATCAAAAGTCTGCTATAAAATGGTGTTGCCCTGGCCGGTGTGGCTCAGCGGTTTGAGCATCAGCCTGTGGACCAAGGGGTTGTGGGTTCAATTCCTGGTCAAGGGCACGTACCTGGGTTGCAAGTTAAATGCTCGGCCCTAATCAGGGTCGTGCAGGAAGCAACCAATCGAAGTGCCTCTCTCAGATTGAGGTTTCTCTCCCCCCTTCTACTCTATCTAAAAAAATCCATGGAAAAATGTCCTCAGGTGAGGAGGAACCAAAAATACATAAAGAAAAGAAAACGTAACTGAATTCCTCACCTCAGAGGCCTGGAAAACGGAGGAGTCCTGCGGAGGGGCCGGAGGCCGAGACGAGGAAGCCAGACGAGCCAGGCCCCGTGGAGGGTGTGGACCTCACCTGGGGAGACCGTCCCGCCTGCGCGGGGTCCGGCGCCCACCCACGCACATCAGCGGGAGGCTGCCCGCACCAGCAGGCTCTGCGCCTGGCCAGGGCCCAGTAACAGGGTGACGCGTCGCCATTTAAATGATAGTTTATGGAAGGGTCATTTATCTTATATAGCGCCTGCAAACATGTTAGCGATTTACAGAGTCCCTGCACCACAGCAGTATTTTAAGGATTCTGTGCTGATCGCTGGCCAGGGATGGTGAGTCAAAGCTGACCGTCATTCCCTCAATTCACCTCCTCGCGTCCCAGGCACCACTTTTACAATTATCTTTTTTTTTTTAACAGAGATGTTTGAAAAGCAATGACCGCAAAGTGGGACCCGGCACCACGCCCACAGCCGGCGGTCGGACCCTGTGCTGGGGCCCTGGTCAACGCCCTCTGCAGCAGCACGAGCCCTCGGTGCCGGGAGCAGAACCAGAGTCCCATGGAGGGCGCCGAGGCCCCCCTGGGAGGAGCCAGGTCCCTTGGGTTTGTCCCGACGGGGGCTGGACAAGAAGTCTGTCCGTCAAGTGAACAAAGCAACGTTAAAGGTTCACAGAATCAATATGGAAAGATGAGCACTGTTTGCGAACCGGTTGCTACTCTAACTCTGCATTCAAAGGTGAGTCCTTCGTGCCAATTAGGCCAGAAGAGCCGAGGGCCCTGAGCTCCTCGTCAGCGAGAAAACCACCTCGGCCGAGTGCGCAGGAGCCGCTCGCTGACCTCAAGCCCCACGGCCCGGAGCGCGCAGGACGGCAGACGCGCTGTGCGCTAACGTCTCAGGAGAGTTAGCGCACAGAGCGCTCGGAGCTCCGTGGTTCCTACGAGTTTTGTGTCCTGTCCTTGGCGCCCGGGCAGATCGGGGCCTCGGGACGGCGGGCAGGGGGGCCGCACCTGTTGTAGCCGATGGGCTTGTGGTTGCAGGCCTCCCAGATGTTGGACCCTGCCACGGAGCAGTCCACGTAGTAGCCAAGCAGGTCCTCCCCATGCTTCGGCCGGTCCCACTCCACCACCACCGACGTCTTCGTGTCCCGAGAGGCCACGACCTTGCCGGGAGCAGAAGGAATCACTTCGCAGGGGAGACAGAATGCACACGTCAGTGAGGACAGTTTCAGAGACACACCAACACCCTCAAGCCCCTGTGTCCGCGGCAAATGGCAAGCCCAGTGTGGGCCTTTAGGGAACATTTGGACAAGGAGGAGGGGACAGGAAAATGGGGATGGGCGGACCAACAGAGGGCCCAGGGGTGCCTGCCAGTCCTCTCTGTTCTCCCAAGGCCTTGTCTGGCCCCCAAAAAAGGAGGTACAGTCACAGAATCTCCCCATGTCCACCAGGACCCTGAAAGGTCTCCCGGTGACATTCACGCTCCGGCTCAGTGGGTGGCGACCACTTTGGGAATTGCCAAGGATGAGGAACTAAGTTTGTTTCCATCACATAGACTCTGAGAAGGACTCAGATTCAAATCATGACTTGACCGTGGATTTTCTCATCCAGCATTTGACCTCTTCAGGAGGGAACCTCAACCGTACAGGTAAGACACTCCAGTGCACCCAGGGTTGGGGTGTGCTTCTACGTGACCACTGCCTCAAAGTGCTGCCAGCCCCTCTATCAGTCACAAAGAAGACGGAACTTGGGAGACACGCCGAGAACTGACCGAACTGTGGCAGAGAGAGAGTCATCTCTCGTGGAACAAAATCTTAAGGTTCCTTGATTTTTAACTCAATGTCTTTATCAACACAAAGGCGTGGGTATCCCCTGTCATCCTATTCGGGGGGCCGTCCTAAGTTCCAGCCACTCGCGGTGACAACTCACCAGTGGTGTCCTGGGCCTGAATGGGGGAGGTGATTTCCGACGGGTCGCTCAGGCCGTGCTTATTTGCAGACAGAACTCGGAACACGTACGGCTTCCCCTCCGCAAGGTCAAAGACAGCGTAGCGCGGGGACCTCACGGCCGTCTGGGCGTTGACCCGCTGCCAGCTGCCGCTGCCGACCATGGACTGCAGGGAACAGGCGAGAGGTGCTGCCCACAGCGAGGTGGAGGAGGTCGTCTGTCTTAGCAAACCGAGCTATACTTCGGGGTGTCTGTCCTGCACTCCCCTACTGGGCCATCAGTACATCTTGTCGAATTTTATAAAAAGGGAAACTAATTTGAAGAAGAAGGTATGACATTTTTTAAGTTGAAGATGCCCCTGGCCAGGTAGCTCAGTTGCTCGGGGCATCGTCACCATATGTCAAGGCTGTGGGTTCAGTCCTGGTCAGCGCTCACACGAGAACCAACAAATGATGCGCAACTGAGTGGAGCAACAAACTGATCTCTCTCTCTCAAATCAATAAAAAAATCGGAAATGCTTACCAATAAACTTTTCACTCACAAGAGAATAATTAAACCATAGAAAACTCCATGGAATCTATACGTAGGTGGAAGTTTAGTGCAATGAAATAAACTGTAAACATTTAAGGATGATAATCACAAAATGTAACTGAACTGTGCACATTCGGGTTTAAAACTGTGACTATTTTGTAGCTTCTTACAATGGTAATCATGTGAGAACAATCTAAATAATGAGCAATAGGGTGAGATACATTGTAACACAGTCATACAGTTCAAAATGTAGCCTTTTAAGTTATTGTAAAAAGATCTATAACAGGATGAGAAGATTTGCATCATTTTGTTAAACGTAATAAAGGATACAAATTATATCCATGATATATCAAGTTTGTAAGACCCTATCGAGGAAAAGATGATAGGTATATACCGTTTGTTAATAGTAACTATTTTACATAGTGGGGTGGTGGGTGGTTTTCATTTTATTCAATATAATGTCTCTGTATTTTCCAAACGTTCTATCCTGCGTGTTTAATTTTTATCATTGATAATTACTTTTAAAGTTTCAGTTGCATGTTTCACTTTTTCCCATAAAGAAAACCCCCGTTTTGAAAGGAATCCCGGGCAAAGTTGGGTGCACGTAAACCCACTGAGGCTGCTAAAAGGAACTGTGGGAGTGTTTAGAATAAAGATTCAGGCTTCTGGAAATTAGATTCGTGTTGGAAGGAGAGGATTTTTCTCATTTTAGCAAAGGTGAAGTCACTTTCTGGGGCTGACACAGGCGTCCTCGTAGGAGGTCCCCACGTGCCCGAGTGTGTTCTGCGTCTGGGGAGGGAGAGCAGGGGCTGGGGCAGACGGTGACGGCAGACAGGTGACCAGAGCCCAGGACCCTCGGTTAGGAGGGGAGGACGGGGAGGCAGTGGGAATAAAACCCCAAGGGACTTACTGCCAAGCTCCCCAAAGCCCTGGGACAGCTGGGGGCCAAATTCCCTCACACTCATCACTCAGCGTGTGTGCCTGTGTCTGTGAATGTGCCTGTCTGTGTGTCCATGTGTGTCTGTGTGTGTCTGTCTGTGTGTCTATGTGTGTGTGTGTCAGAGTGTGTCCATGTGTGTGTCTGTGCGTGTGTTTGTCTGTGTATGTGTCTGTGTGTGTGTCCGTGTGTGTGTCCGTGTGTGTGTTTGTCTGTGTGTGTGTCTGTGTGTGCGTCCATGTGTGTCCGTGTGTGTGTCCGTGTGTGTGTGTCCGTGTGTGTGTCTGTGTGTGCGTCCATGTGTGTCCGTGTGTGTGTCCGTGTGTGTCCGTATGTGTCTGTGTGTGTCCATGTGTGTCCGTGTGTGTGTCCGTGTGTGTGTTTGTCTGTGTGTGTGTCAGTGTGTGCGTCCATGTGTGTCCGTGTGTGTGTCCGTGTGTGTCCGTATGTGTCTGTGTGCGTCCATGTGTGTCTGTGTGTGTGTCCGTGTGTGTGTTTGTCTGTGTGTCAGTGTGTGCGTCCATGTGTGTCCGTGTGTGTGTCCGTGTGTGTGTCTAGAACTACAATCACAGGCTCTTTCCTCATCCGTCCAGAACTAAGACTGTCGAGCCCTCGGCACCTGAAGTGTGACTCGCTCTACAACGTCGCCACCCAGTGGCCACGGGGCTGATGAGCACTCGACCCCGACTCAGCATCCTGGGGAGTAGGAGCCTCGAGCGTTTTGGTGGGAAGATTTAGCTCGATGCTTCCTGGACGGGGGGACCCGGAGCCCAGGGCTGTGGCGCGAGCGGCTCGCTCACATGGTTGGCGTCCGAGCCAGGACATTTCCCGGCCGACGTGAACCGCCCTCATTCCTATTATCACAGCTTCTTCCACAAACAGAGACGGGGCCTCTGGGCCGGGACTCGTGCTGCTCATCCCGAGGCCCCCGGGCGGCAGAGGGGGCCCCCCACGGTACCTTCTCCACGAAGTACGTCAGTGGCGCCCTGCCCCGGGGCACAGGGGGGTCCCAGCTGAGGACGACATAGTTCCTGCTGATTTCTGAGGCGTGCACGTTGGTGGGGGGTCCCGGGATCAGCACGTCACCTGGGGAGGAGGAACCTGGTGAGCGCTGGCCAGCCCTCGGCCCAGCCATCCTCAGAGCCCGTCCGCCGGGCAGGTGACCGCACAGAGGAGCCGTCACACCTATGTGGGGACATCAGCACTGGACCAGTGGTCTGCCACAGCCAAGGCCACGATCACCCCAGGACTCCTGTGTCTGATAGGAGCCAGCCCCCAGAAAGGGGTCAGTCCACAGTCTCTGCTAAAAGTGGGGGTCAGCCAGAAGAAACAGCCTGGAACCCCACGTGCAGCCCTGGCCGCCCCGAGCTTGTCTGTAGAAGGCACTGCTGTGGCCTGTGGTGGAAACCTCGGAGTGACCGGCTGTGAGGCCCCCACCTCCCCGCCCTGCGCGTCCCCGGGCACCAAGCCCGGGTCCCCAAAGCACGTCGTTTGCCCCAGCTCGACCTCATGCGGTCACCAGAGTGTGGCCCAGGCCTGGGTGTGACGGTCAGAGGTACAGAGACCGCCTCTGTAACTGACAGAACGTCTGGGTTGGACCCCTGCCAGTCCTCGCTTTGGACGCGAGCCTCGTCCACGCCGTGCTGGCTGCCGGGGCGTCGTGCACGAGGTGGGGGGCGGATTCATAAACTTGGGGTTTCCCTGACCCCGGTGCCCGTAACTGTGATAGAAACACGATGAGTGTCAACGAGCTTAGCACATGAGCAAAAGGGCTCGAAATGCCCCGCACATCTGAGTCCTTCCCCAAACCCGGCTGCTCTGGGGCCTGAGCTGCCGGCAAGGAGCTGAGCCGCCCATGGAGCCGCGACGTCACTGCTTCCTCGCGGGAGCCGGTGTCAGAGCCCCCGGCCCAGGCCGCCCCCAGAGAGCTGGGAGCCACGCGGGTGCCGCGTTCCCCAGGAGTCAGGGAGGGGCCGGCGGAGCAGGGCCTCAGGCGCCCACAGCCCCTGACCCTGTGCTGTGCCCACGCATGACAGACGACACAGAACCTCCCCGGGAGGACACACACCACACGGAGTCGCAGTTCATCTCAGAGCCAGACCACGTGGGACGCAAAGCGGGGGGGGCGGGGCGCTGCAGGGACAGGAGGCGCCTGGGAGTGTGTGCACCCCGTGGTGTGCACCCCGTGGTGTGCACCCCGTGCCGCCGCGCACCCCGCACCCTCGGGTCGGTGCAGCGCTGTCCGCAGCCTGGGACAGAGCCTGTCAGCCCAGAGGTGGAGTGAGACGCACTTTATCTGCCGCAGGGAGGAAGGCACCCAGCTCCTGTGGGCAGGGAGTCCCTGAGCAGGGCAGGGTGCCGGAGTTACTAAGACTTCCCGCGCCCCTGGGGATGCTGTGCGTGAGCCTCGGAGACTGGCAGGTGACCCAGGGACGGGAGCAGGACGCACTGGCCCCAGGAAAGGAAAGGGGACTCGGAGAAGGAGCCAAAGCCCGAGGACTGACCGGCCTCCCCCTGCACGTCCAGTTAAAACCTCTGGATCTCTGACTAGTGATGCTAGATCCTCCCTGGTACATCGATCTTTCTGGATCTCTCTCGAAGGAAAATGAGGAAGCACTCATAACATCTAACAGGGACATTATTTGAGAGGAAAGACGCCGTCCATTTAGTGAAATATGATCAATATAACTTTCGCGTAAACGAATACTAAATGCCCCCCAGCGCCAACCCGGGTTCAGGTGGGCTGCTCCTCCGCCCGTCTCCGGGAGGCAGCAGGGCCCAACGGGAGTCCACAGCGTCGCGGCTGGGCCACCTGGTTCCTATTCTCACGCCCTCACTCCGTGTTGCTTTGTTCAACCTCAAGCTTTCAAGCAGTTTTTATTTTTACCTGTAAAGAGTGTCCATGTCACGCCCTGGCCGGTTTGGCTCAGTGGTCAGAGCGTCGGCCCACAGACCAGAGAGACCCAGGTTCGGTTCCGCCAGGGACACGTACCTCGGTTGCAGTTTGTCCCTGGCCCCAGTTGGGGTCGTGTGGGTGGCAACCACTCTGTGTCTCTCTCATGTCGACGTCTATCTCTCTCCCTTCTCCCTCTCTTGCTCTCGCTCTATCTGAAGATAAATGCAGAAATATCCTCGGGTGAGGATCAAAAAAAGTGTCCATGTCACTTGAGTGTGTTTTTCTCTCTCTCCTGCCTCTAGTCACAACCCAAATCGCTGGGGTCCACGAGCAACTTACCTTCGAGGTCATCCTGGCAGATCACGAGGTCCTTGTCTCCCTCCAAATGGACAGCTGTGGGGAGAGAGGGGCGGTAAGTCTGTGTCCAAGGTGTCCCCTGACGGGCACTGCGCACGAGGCCGGCACCGCCTGTGATGGCGGTCACAGCACGTTCACTGTCCTGAAGCATCGGAGCTGACGCTCTGCAAACAGTCCAGACATGCGTGGTGCTTCTCGGCTCTTTGCATTCAAGAGACCGACCACGCGGGTGAGGAAAACACAGAGGCTCACTCACGACCGTGACGAAAGGTCGATCGCACAACGGAACCTGCATTGCGTGAATTTAGATCCCACCATAGTCACTGGGTCTAACTTCTGAGGCTCACTGTGTGTGGAAGTTATATCCTCAGTGGACTGGGAAATGTCCTATTCTGCACCCCGTTCACTGGGTGTCAGTACTGAGCATCTGGAAGGGGCACACCGAGTGTACACGTTCATGGGGGACCCCGAAACGCCGCTGCCCTCCCGGCCCGTGAGCGTGTCCCCGCATTCCGGTGCCATTGCGGGAAAGGGAGAAAGAATAAACCACACCCACAGCCCCCCGTTTCCCAGGCACAGCTGGACCGGACACTCCAGCGACATACTCTGAAATCGGTTGAGGTCAGCAGGGTCAAGGGCAGTCACGGCCTCGGAGACTCTGGACGGCCGGCTGATGCCCGCGTTGTTGACGGCCCGCACACGGAACACATACGACCGCCCTTCGAACAGCCCGGTCACGGGGTACTTGCAGATCTTCACGGGGGAGTCATTGCACTGGACCCAGTTGTCAGCTCCTACCTCACACCTTCAAGTAGAAACAGTGCGGAACAGCAACTGTATCAGTCTGCTGACTGCGTGCGCTACATTCATGGATACATGCGTCGTACGTAAGTAACAGTTGCAACAGGAGAAGACCTCGCAGTGGTGACACCAATACCACCGAAATCCGATTTACGCAAACAGGACAAATACACGTCAAAAGCCAGCTAGTTAGGCCCTGGCTGGTGTTGCTCAGCGGTTGGAGCACTGGCCGCACACCGATGAGTCTGAGGTTCGAGTCCAGTCAAGGGCACGCACCTCAGTTGCAGTTCGTCCCGGCCGGGTCGGGTCGTGCAGAGGCAACCAGTTGATGTGACTCTGTCACACAGACATCTCTCTGTCTCTCTCCCTCCCTTCTACTCTATCCGATGATAAATGGAAAGATATCCTCAGATGAGGAATAAAAGATAAAAATTGAAAAGACAGCTATTTAGGAAAGATGAAATATATTCCTGAGCCTTTGCAGTGTAGAGGCTAAGATTCATTCCTGACAGCCCACACATTTAGGAAAATTCTCCTGCAAAAGTCAGTTCAGGTCCAAGCTGGGCAGATCTTTCACAACTCACATCACAAAGTCCAGGGTCCCTCCAGCTCCCCGGCCGTCTGCCGCCCTGGCTGGGGAGGGGGTGGCCCTGGGCTCCAGGTCCCACCAGGGGACCTGACGGCCGAGCTGGAGCTGGCTCCCTGTCCACCCCAAACATGATAAGACATTTCTTCATAGCAGGCTTCTCATGCAGACTTTGGAAGTCTTTTGAAAATATTCCGTCCTGCCCAGAAACCTGGCCGTGATCAACCTCCGTTTTCCAGAGGCTGAGAGACGACGGCACCAGCCCCTCACCGGCAGTTCCCCGGAGAAAACAGCAGGTGGCGAGCAGGAGCCGGAGAGAAGCTCAGTGGGGGCCGCACCTTCCGTTTGAAGAAGCGGCCTCTTGCCTCCTGACGGTGCAGACCCTCCCTGAGGTGCTCCCGCCCGGTGCCGACCGGTGCCGACCGGTGCCGACCGGTGCCGCCCGGCGGCCGCCAGAGCTGTGCTCATCTGCTCGAGGGGGTTGTTACCTGGGAGCGGGCGCGAAGCCGTTTACCAGCCGGTTGGAAAAACGATCAAATGTTGCAGAGGATAGAGCAGGGCTGTTGTTCTGTTTCTGTTTGTTTCATTGATTTTTAGAGAGCGAGGGGGGGAGAAGAGTCGAGCCCACACCCTAGGTACGTGCCCTGATGGGGAATCGAACCAGCTGCCTTTTCAGTGCGCATGGGGGGGACCAACCCCCTGAGCCCACCGACCCCGAACACTGCGGGTCTGACTCTAGCACAGCGAATAGATGTGAGCATTTCAGCTAAACAATCACTCTGTTGGGGTGAAAAGTGTTTAATCAACAGAATGCAAAACAATGCTGATTGATACTTTTTCTCAACCACCTCTCTTACTTCACTGTGTTCCCCACAGGGAACCTCCCATCCCTACCCGGCCGTCGCCTGGGGCCCGCCGGCTCGGACCTGCTGTCTGCCCTGGGTCGCTCTCCTTGACCGTAATTTCTGTCGGGTTGAGCAGTCGATCGGGGGCACACTCCGCAGACCCGGAGCCTCACTGTTCCTGCTCACACCCTCCTCGGGCCGTGAGCTCCTCACTTTTCCGAACGTGGAGACACGAACCTCCGTGGGGTCTGATGATCTACGTTTAAGTCATTACCTCAAAGAAAGTTCCCATGTGATGTCGACACTTTTTACCGGGAAACCGGAACAAAGCTTATTTTGGGGGGCAGGGGGATATGTGCCCCTAGAGGGGACCGATCCCGGGACTCTCTGGTCCGCAGGCCAATGCTCCGACCGCTGAGCCAAACCGGCCAGGCCAAAGCTCATTGAACAGAGAAGAGAGCAGGACGTGGGGTTTGAGTGCGCCCGTGTTCACCCTGCCCGGCGCCACGTCCTCCGGAGGGAAGGACACGCCGGACATGACTACTTGTCTGGGCTGTTCTCAGCTCAGGCTGAACCCTCAGCAGGACCTCGAACCCGGCTCAGAGCATCTGGAGAAACAACGGAGGTGCGGCCGGTGGGGAACAGGAGACACGGTCCAGCGACAGCACGGACATCAGGTGTCTGCACAGCCTGCCTGCCCGCGTGGCGATACCCACCAACTCTCAGGACGCTCACTACCCAACAGCCGGCGCCCAGGGCCCATGGAGAACAGTGCCGTGTACATCGTCTGTGACAACGTCCATTTCGGGGACGTTCCCATCCACGTGAGCATGCCACGGACACTCACCGGTCGATGAAATAGCCGATGACGGCGCCCTCGGTGGTCGTGTTGGGTGGCTTCCAGGTGACTATGACGTAGTCTCGGTTGGCATCATGACACCGTACGTCCATGGGCGCGCCCGGGGCCCCCGTGACCAGCGGGTCGGCGTCTGGGGGAGACGACGGGATGAGTCTCCGGGGTGGGCACTGGGGTTTTAAGCCTGTTCCCTTCTTCACACGCAGACCCCGGTGCCAACCGGACCCCTGTCCAGTCCACACATCCGATGACCTGACCCTGGTGCCAACCGGACCCCTGTCCAGTCCGCACATCCGACGACCTGACCCTGGTGCCAACCGGACCCCTGTCCAGTCCGCACATCCGACGACCTGACTCCATGGCCGACCGGACTCCTGTCCAGTTCGCACATCCAACGACCTGACCCCGGTGCCAACCAGACCCCTGTCCAGTCCGCACATCTGATGATCTGACCCCGGTGCCGACCGGACCCCTGTCCAGTCCACACATCCGATGACCTGACTCCATGGCCAACCGGACTCCTGTCCAGTCCGCACATCCGATGACCTGACCCTGGTGCCGACCGGACCCCTGTCCAGTCCACACATCCGATGACCTGACTCCATGGCCAACCGGACTCCTGTCCAGTCCGCACATCCGATGACCTGACCCCGGTGCCAACCGGACCCCTGTCCAGTCCGCACATCTGACGACCTGACCCCGGTGCCAACCGGACCCCTGTCCAGTCCGCACATCTGACAACCTGACCCCAGTGCTGACCAGACCCCTGTCTAGTCCGCACATCCGATGACCTGCCTATCCCTGACGGAGGTGGTCGCTTGGTGACAAGAAACTTGCGCATGTTTATGCCTTTTTAACTCTAAACCTTCTGTCCTCGCCTGGCCAATCTGCTCAGTGGTTAGAGCGTCGGCCCTCAGACCAATGAGCCGCGGGCTCAATTCTGGTCAAGGGCACGCACCTCGGTTGTGTTTTGTCCCCGGCCCTGGCGTCCCTCTCACATCGGTTTTCCCTCCCTCCCTCCCTTGCTCCCTCCCTCTCCATCTGATCAGTGGGAAAATGTCCTCGGGTGAGGATTGAAAATAAACACAATAAAACCTCCTGTTCTCTATAACAGGCTCAACTGTACGAATCCTCGTGGTTGGACCCAAAGTCGTGCCCTCCTCCCGACGGCATGTGGTCGCCCACCTCGTCCTGCCGGGACCCGCAGAGACAACCGTGATGACGTGGCCTTTTCTGTACCTGGGGGGTAAGACCTCAGGTGCCTTCATATTTCAAAGTCCTTAGAAACGTACGAGATTTGGATCTTCCCAGCCAGCTGTGAGCAGTGGTTTGGGTCCATCGCCTCCGGCCCATCCTTTTGCAGCTGGTTTGTGACCAGAGCTCAGGGAGGGTCTCACCACAGTGGCCGTGAAGACCCCAGAGCCGCTCAGAGCAGCTCGGCACCTGGCGCGTCACGTCCTCGTCGAGCCTCCGTGTCCACGCAGAACCTCGGCTCGGACGCGTCCTGAGTGTCCCAGGCCCTCGTCAGTCCCCTTGCATTTTAGAAGCTAAGCTTCTCTTGACACGGAGCCAAGAATTTTCACTCACAGTCAAACCCCTTGGAGTCACGAGGACAGGGAAACGCCCCTTCCGCCCAACTTTCTCTCCTCGGTGTCGCCCTCCGGGCCCAGGACCCCAGGACCCCAGGACCGCGCACGGCCCAGCGTCACTGACCTCTGACGAACAGGTAGGCGCTGTGGTCACTGACGCCGCCTCTGGACACGATCCTCAGGGTGTACAGGCCCTCGTCGTCCTTGTTCAGGTGGCTGAAGGACAGGCAGGCCTGGCCGTCCCCGAAGAACATCTGGGTCCACTGGGACTCCTGCAGGAGCACACCTGCCAGGGGACGACCAGGGGGTGACCCGGCTCCTGACGTCCGACAGCCCCGGACCCCGCCCTCGCCGACGCAGGCCGGGCCCGCGACCCCATCGAGTCTGAGACCACTTCACACACAGCCCACGCGCAGCGTCCACGGGTGAGGCCACGGCAGCGAGAAAAGGGAGTCACGTACCCTGTGGTTTCCGTGTCCCCAGGGTTACGTCTGCAGGACAGTGTACGTGCCCCAGTTAGACAGACTCAGACACTGGGGGTGCCTCAGCCCTGCTCCCAGGGCACCCGCCCCGTCCACTGACACAGCCTGGGGCTCCTCGGCAGAGTGAAAACGCCTCCTACATGTCCGTGTCTCAGAATACGCCCCAGAGAGCGGCCCCCGGGGGCCACGGGACCATGGACCTGCCGCGATCTGATCGGTCAGCTGGACTCACCCACCGACTGCAAGAACCGAACCCGGGGAGGAGGCCGGTTTCCAGCAGGCGCGTCCGTTCCTGGGGCCCCGGGTGCTAGAACGGCCACGTCCCCAGACACTCCCTGCTCACTAGCGGAAGCTCTAAAATCGATGCACTTTGGGGGGTCCTAGGAGACCTCTCCTCAAACCAGTTCCTTCTGCCTCCGGAAAGGGTAAATTCCTACCTCAGAAATAAATTAGACACTAATCGTAAATAAGAATGACAGAGGGCAAGTGAGGTGTCTGTCCCTCCGCCTGTGCCCCTCGAGAGAGGTGGCCTTCTCAGGACAGCCGCCCCCTGGTCTGCGGGGCACCTTCCAGGGCGCCAGTGGGTCTCTGACCTGCACACGCTCTTCTCTCCCTGCACACACACCTACGAGGCAGCTTCTCCGAGGAACCGGGCACAGCAAGGTTCACAGGGACCAGGAACGACTGTAACAATGTCCTGCCCCCTCCCAGCCCCTCATGGTCCTGCTCCACCTGGTCACGGAGAGGACGCCTTCCCGGCTTCTCCTCGGCAGGTCCGGGTCACCAGCGGCGCTACCCCTGCGCTTTGGGGCCCTCTCTTAGGAGAAGGGTGAGTTGGGCACAAGCCCCGAGACACTGGCTATGGATCCGATCACCCAGCCGGGGCTCAGTGACTCCAGGCGGGCGTGGACACCCCAGGATGGAGGCTGACATTTCATCAGGCAGCTCAGAGCGGCAAATTGACACCTTGGAATTGTTTACTCCTGGGAGTCCCAGTGAGACTCCGGGAAGAGGGATGTCAGGCCGGACGGACCACCGCCTTCTACCCACAAGTCCACCCGGGCCGCTGGGCGAAGGTGGGCCTGCCCTGCCGAGCCAGCACCGGTTTCCAAGTCTGTGCCCTGGGCCGAGCACAGAGCCCTCCTCAGCCCCTGAGAGCTGTCCTGTCCCAGCCCCTCCACCCTTCCTTCCCTTCGCTCCAAACCTGCACCTGCTGAGCCCGGGCAACAGGCGCGGCCATGCCCTGCACTTAGCAAAATGTCCCAGGACGTCCCCCCCACTTCACGCAGACACTGCCCTGCAGGCCCGTCCGCCCCGGGGTCACACGGTGTCGCAGCAGAATCAGGTGCTGCTCGTCCGGCTCCGCGCTGTTGGGCTCTGACTGCACTCGGCTCCCTTCACAGGCAGACGCGCCCGAGATGTGGCCTGGCCGGCGCCTGGTGCTGTCTGCACACGGACAGCCCGGGGAGGACCTGGAGCCTGAGCCCCACCCCCCGCCTCAAGCCCCGCCCCACCGTCCTCAGGAGGGGCCTGAGCAGGTGCCCCAGCTCTGCCTGTAACAGGAGCTACAGCCCGGCCCTCTGTCCCTGAGAAAACTGAGCACCACACTCAGAGCACCCGGCCCTGGTCTGCGCGAGCAGACGTCGCTCACTCTCTCCCGTCACACAAACACCCCTTTCCGGGGCTACAGACATCTGGGATGACGTTAGCTTCCGGCACCCCCTGTTAATCCCCCAGGTTCCCGGGGGGGGGGGGAGCCCAAGGTCCAAGGTGGGCTGGGGTCCTCTCAGCCTCTCCCGGCTTCGCCCCCTGCAGAGCCTCGGTGGGGAGAGGAAGCCAGGTTTGCGCCAGGGTCTGCAACTCGCTTGGCCTGAAGGCGCCAAGGTCACGGCGCGGAGGGCGGGCACCCAGGCGGGCGCGGCCCTGACTCACCGTCCCGGTACCACTCTGCCCGCGGCTGCACCCTCTTCAGGTCCGGCGTCACCAGCACTCTGCACTTGAGGGTGACGGTCTCGCCTTCTCTTCTGAAGGTGACCCCGAATTTCTCCAAGAACTGGACGTCGAAGTGTGTGTACGGGATCACGGACGGTAAGGGCACTGCGGGGACGGAACGGGGCCGTCACGGGAGGCGAGCGAGGGGTCCCAGCTCCTGGCCAGCCCCCAGGGACACCGGGAACGGGCTGTGGTGTCCCCAACAGCATGTCGCTCAGGACTGCAGAGACAAGATCGGCTGGGTCCGAGCACCCGCCCCAGTACATCCCAACAATATCATGGGGGGGAGGGGTCTCTCTCAACACAGAATCCACAGCGATTTATTAAAACAAAGAAATCTGTGGTTTACAAATCATGGACTTGGTGAAAATTGCAGAAAGGGCTGCACCCTTCAGGGGGATGGGTGGGGTCCTCGCAGCAGGACAGGCTGGGGGCTCCGGGCGCCCTCCCCTCTGCACTGAGCCCCTGAGCACACACTTGACCATCGACCAACTTCACTGCGACTTAGAGGCCAGACGGCAACATGTCTGCGTGGTGAGCAGGGCGGCGGGCGCGGCGTCGACGGCCGGGTGCCCTGTGCCCCTCAGTGCGCGCGTCCTTCATGACCCTTCCGCAGAACATAAAGTGTCCACAGTGGACAGGGGCCGGGAGTGGGCCAGGTGACTTCTGAGACGCTCTCCTGCTTCGGCAGGGGGACCCTCCTCCACGGGGACCTTCACTGCCCTCGGGGCCCGTCCTCCGTCCCCCTGCCCCCGTGTCCCCACTTTTCTGCTGGTGGTCCTGGGCACCCCCAAATGTCGGGCAGAAGCCTTCCAGTGAAATCCACACAGAAGCTCCCCCCTCGGCCGCGTGGGGTTTGTAGCGTCGAGACCTCACATTACGGTAACATCCAGGCTGCTGTGGGAAGGTCGGGGCGACCCTAAGTCCTGCTCCCCGACCATAAATAAGCCTCAGCAACGGCAAGGGTTCGAGTCACAGCCCTGGAGATGCCACCACCTCACTCACGTCAGGCCAGCTCCCTGGGCCTCGGGTCAGAAACCAGCCGCGGCAGTCACCTGGGGAACTGGGGTGCCCACAGTGACACGTGGCAGTTCCGCCCGGGGGGGCTGGTGGAGGGAAAGGGGGAGCCGAGGCACAGGTGTGTCCGCATGACGGCCAGGCTGGCTGGCGTCCACTCCGGGTCAGCACTGGCTGCTCCCCACCAAGGGGCATGGACTTGGGGAACAGGAAACGACCCCTAAACTCAGAACGAGGCCGCAGCTTGCGCTCCCGCCCAGGGCTGGAGTCAAGGTTCCTCCCAATCCAAACGCCCACTCCCACCAGGAAACACGCCGTCACAGAACCCCATCGGGACGCGCGCCCTGGACAGACGCGCTGAGAACCCGGCAGCCTTTGGACTTGGAAAAAGACTCGCCCTTCAGACAATCATTCTCCAAATTCTGCGCTCTCTATTTTCTGCCCCAAACGGAAAAGAAGTCGACTTACTGCCAATCGGGAGTCCCACGGAACGGAGCGGCTCCTCCTCGCCTCGGAACCCTGCAAGACAGGGTGAGCGCGGCAGGGGGCGCCCAGGGCGCCGGGCGGGCCCCACCCCAGGGAGCTCACTCACTTTTGACCACCACCGCCGCGTTGGTGGACACCTGCCCGTGCACGTTCGTGGCCACCGCCGTGTAGGTCGCCGTGTCGTCGAAGTCCGCCCTTGGAGAGAAAGACCCGTTCCTGAGCCGCTGCAGGCTGCTCTGCAAGCCGGCTGCCCGAGGTTCGGCACAAATCCCGCTCGGAAGCAGCTCGGGTGACCGTGGTCCTCTGTCCACGACCGATGAGCCTCAGAGCACAGCCAGCTCCACCCCGGCACCCTGCGCACTGCGGGCACCGCGAGGTCGGATCCCAACTCTGACTTTATAACAAACAGGGTGAGTTCAGATACCCATGTGGACTCCTCGGGTGCCTTTGGTTAGTTAACAAAACAACGTGTTTGGAAATGTTTTGTGACTTTCCAGGGCTGTATGCTTTTTGCACATTATTCATTAAAACATATCTGCTGAGCCCTGGCTGGTCTGGCTCCATGGCTGGAGCGTCGGCCGCAGACCCAAGACTCGTGGGTTCGATTTCTGTCACAGGCAGGGACTCGGTTGTGGTTCGTCCCCGGCCCTGGTCGGGGCTGTGCAGGAGGCATCCGATCGATGTGTTCCTCTTGCATCCATGTCCCTCCCTCTCTCTCCCTCCCACACTATCTGAAGATAAATGAAAAGATGCCCTACTCAGGTGAGGATTAAATATATATATATATAAATATATATATCTCTGCTGAATTCCTGGAGCAAACGCTCAAAGCAGATGCCTTTTCCGCTCCTCCTCCACCACCTCGACGTCCCAGCCCAACGACCCGGGTTTCCCGAGGCTCTGAGAACTGCAGCTGCTTCCCGGCTCCTGAACGGGGATCTCGGGGGCGAGGAAGCGGGAGGACCGCAGGGAGGGACAGTGAGGGCCTACAGCAGGAGCCGACAGGCAGCCCCTCCCAGAGGGCTTCAACCGTGCTTTTCACTTGACTTGCAAATTAAGACTGGGCATGAAGATCGGGGAGACGGACCTGACAGTTCAGCACCGGGTCTCACCAATTAGCACTTGGCGCTTAGCAGGAGGGGCCAATTAGCACTTGGTGCTTAGCGGACAGCGGGGAGAAGGCCTGTCCAGCCGCTGTGGGGAGCCCGGCCACTGTGTGCTCCTGGCACCTGCCCAGGAGAGCTGGGCCTCTCCTGTCAGGTTGTGACCGAGGCCACAACCCCAAACAGCTTCAGACCGCGGACCAACCGGCCTGCAGGAGCTGCGGCGACAGGAGGCTGGGACCTCCGCGAGGCCCACTTCCGGCCTGTCTGCATTTCACTACTGTACTGTTACACGTCATGGAAGGTCCTGGGGACGAGCCGCAGGCAGATTATAAATAAGTGAACCTGCACGTCCGGGGAGACCCACTGGGGCGGGCGGTGCAGGGGGGCCGGAAGGGTGGCCCCCGTGGGCCGTGTGGGTGGGGCGGGGACGGGCTCTGGCCTGCAGGCCTCGGCACGCCCACTGGGACCCGTGCTCCATCGCCGCCACGGCCACTAGCTCACGCCGCGAGAACCGGTGAGACATGACGACGGGCACAGACAGGCTCCCAGTCAGGCAGAGACCATCTTCAAATGTCCCAGGGGCACGCGCACCCCAAAGTCTCCACCTGGAGCACCCCAAATTAACTCCACCGGAAAAAAGACGGACCTCCTTCACGCGGCACCAACTTTCTCCCGGGGAGTCAGGCCTGTGTCCTCACCTTGGACGTTAACACTGGATTTAAAATTTAACCCAGGTTAGAATTGGAACATCACAGTCTAAAAATAAAGTTCAGGAAAGGGTCAGCGGACAGTCGCTCTGCAGGGGCCGGCAGGGTGGAGGCCGTGACAAATGAAATGCCCGCGAGACCGTCCTGCACACGTCCACCAACACGTGGGAAGGGCATGAAAATTCCGTGAAGAAACGGAACTCGGGCTGGGAGTCCCCAGGGTGGTGTGTGAGTCGGGGAATCGCGCTCATTTCGGCCGGAACCCGAGCGGCCCCGAGGCCGGCCCCACACTGTCCCCAGCGCTTCAGGAATCTGGCGACCGCGGCCAAGGGACATTCATAGGAACACACGTCACCCTCCGAGGGGCAGAGGCCCGTTCCTGAGCAGCACACTCTGCCCCTGGGCCCCGGGGACGCTCAGATCCGATGACCGGGACTCGGCACGTTGGACGGACAGCTGAGGGCAGCCGGAGCCTGGGCTTCCCCGGCCCCTTCGAAGGACGGTCCCACCGCGTCAGAACATCCCAGTCGGACGAGGTGCCGCTGAGAGACCAGTGAGCCTGGGGGTTTCTTTGCCAGGTCCCTGGGATATGCCCAGACTGCGGGAAAGCCTGTGGGTGCAGGCACCCCGGGCCCCTCACTGTCCCAGAGGCCGTGGCCGTGCAGGCAACTTCCTTATACTTGAGAAAGGAAAACTTTTCTTTGTCAGCGATGATGGAATGCAGCCTGGGAACAAGGCGTTGCTCGGCAAACGGACCCAGCACCCGAGGGCCAGCAGCCCACGGAGCAGACAGACACCCCGAGAACAGAGGGACTCCCCGAGATGGGGGCAGGGCGGTTGCTGGAAGTCCAAGGACAGGGAGTACTCTGAGCCCCGCAGGGCAACCCAAGACCAGAGGGAGGAGGAGACGCCACCCCAGCCTTCCTCACCCAGCTGACGCCGACGGGCCAGACTTCAGCTGTTCTCGGGCCTCCTTGTCACTAACACCAGGCCCCGTCTGTCAGCGAATCCTGCTGGCTCTGCACTCAGATCTGTGCAGACGAGCCCTCCGCCAGCCTGGCCTGGACCTCAGCAAGGCCCCCCGCCTGCTCCTGGCCACGGCGACCCCTGGGAACCTAAGTCTGACCTCTCACCTCTCTGCTCTCGTCTCCCCGTCAGCTCTGCCCTGGCCCAGGGCCCTGTGGTGACCGCAGGCCTCCTGTGCCCCCGGCCTCCTGTCCCGTGTCACCCACCCAACCTGCACCTGGGAGGCAGCTGCCCGCACGGCGGCCCAGCCCCTCATCTCTGCTCACAGGGTCTTCTCCATGGAGGCCCACCCCCTGCTCCACCAAACACGGACCCGCCTCCTGCGCCCCAGGCCCAGCGCCTTCTGGTCTACCGCAGAGTCCACCTGAGCTACGGCTCACCTGCTCCGTCAGGTCAAGCCCCCGAGCTCAGGGGTCCTGAGTGGGCCCTGTGCCCCAGCATCGAGAACAGTCCTGGCTCGGCAGGTTCTTTGTGGACCGTGCCCCCCCACTTGTCTAAAGCGCCTCAAATGTGCCCTGGCCGGGTTGCTCAGTGGTTGGAGCGTCATCTGTACACTGAAAGGTGGCAGGTTCGATTCCTGGTCAGGGCACATACCCAGGGTGCAGGGCATGTGTGGGGGGCAACCGACTTACCTCTATCTCCCCTCCTCTCTCTAAAAAAATCAACAATAAAGTAAAGTAATAAAGGGCCTCGGTTTACCTGGAGAAACAAGGCAATGACTGATCCCAGCGTGAACCCCTGTCAGCACCTTTAACACCTGTTCTGATGGACCAGCAGGAAGAATCTGGTTCTGGTGGGGACCTCCCAGACCGCGCACACCCTGGGCGTCCGCCCCCGACTGCTGAGCGGGGGGCGAGGGTCCCGGCGCAGGAGGGCCTGAGGGCCAGGCTGGCGGGCGCCCTGCTCCTCAGCTGGGGAACGGCGCCTCCGTGGAACAGACCTGGGGGGCTGAGGGGTGTCGGAGGCTCCCACCCGGGTCTACACTGAGCCCTCAGGACACAGTCGCTGCCCTGATTGTATGACCATAAAATCCACAGACTCACACATTCAACTGTCTCCCTGAAGGGTTTACCCAGCACCTCATCTCTTCCCGGGAAGGGTTTGCTGTGCCCTGCCACGCACACAACTCCACCACGTCACGCACACGTATAAAACCAGATGTTCTCGTCCCCGCAACAGCGATCGGCAGACAGACCAGTGCGTGCTCAGCACTGACGCTGGGTCGTTATTTGCACAGAAGGCGTACGGGTCACGAGCCGCGCGTGACGGTGGCCCAGAGTCACAGGGGCGTGGCAGCAGGCCCCGCACTGTACCCCAGTCCTCACCGCCGCCCGCTAAGTCCACTCTGGAGAACGGGGACGTGTTTGTGAAAAAGATGGACCGCATAACGCATGACCTTTCTGCAAAAAGCAAAACTGCGCACACGGAGAAACAGAAAAAGAACAGGAAAAACTCACGTTTGCAAAAGAAAAAAAGAAAGAAAACATTGTACCTGTGTGTTAATCAGGTAGAAAGAAAGGCACACAGACACCCAACACTGACAGGTATTAGAAATGTGGGTGATTTTTGTTTGCCTTTTCTTATCTGTACTTTCCACATTTTTTCACTGTGTTATACGAAAAAAATCAAGGTTATATTTCTTTGATGGGTCTGAGGTTAGGGACGCAGCCCGGCCGCCGACCAGCTGGGCACAACCGACTTTCCCTGCAGCCCTGGCACCGGGAACCCCGACTTCCCTGACGTGGGTTCCCTTGTTCCCAGAGCAGAGCGTGGAGGAGCCAGTGAGTTTGCGCCCCTCTGCCCTGAAGGGAAGCTGGTCCCACTTCAGTGAACTCAGACCAGACCAGCAACGCTGATGGGGTGCGGCACAGCCTCCTGTTGGCTCTGGTTCTCAGGTTCGGGACATGAACCCGTCCAGCAGTGCTGCCGCCAGCCCCCACCTGTGGCCTCCAGCGTGCACACGGCCCTCACCTGTGGGCCCCAGTGCGCATGGCCCTCACCTGTGAGCCCCCAGGGTGTGCATACGGCCCTCACCTGTGGCCCCCAGTGCGCACGGCCCTCACCTGTGAGCCCCCAGGGTGTGCATACGGCCCTCACCTGTGGGCCCCAGTGCGCACACCGCCCTCACCTGTGGGTCCCCAGGGTGTGCACACGGCCTTCACCTGTGGGTCCCCAGGGTGTGCACACGGCCCTCACCTGTGGGCCCCCAGGGTGTGCACACGGCCCTCACCTGTGGGCCCCCAGGGTGTGCACACGGCCCTCACCTGTGGGCCCCCAGGGTGTGCATACGGCCCTCACCTGTGGGCCCCCAGGGTGTGCATATGGCCCTCACCTGTGGGCCCCCAGGGTGTGCGTACGGCCCTCACCTGTGGGCCCCCAGGGTGTGCATACGGCCCTCACCTGTGGCCCCCAGGGTGTGCATACGGCCCTCACCTGTGGGCCCCCAGGATGCACACGGCCCTCACCTGTGGCCCCCGGTGCACATGGCCCTCACCTGTGGACCCCCAGGGTGTGCATACGGCCCTCACCTGTGGCCCCCAGGGTGTGCATACGGCCCTCACCTGTGGCCCCCAGGGTGTGCACACGGCCCTCACCTGTTGATCTCCAGGGTGTGCACACGGCCCTCACCTGTGGGTCCCCAGGGTGTGCACACGGCCCTCACCTGTGGGTCCCCAAGGTGTGCACACGGCCCTCACCTGTGGGCCCCCAGGGTGCACACGGACCTCACCTGTTGATCTCCAGGGTGTGCACACGGCCCTCACCTGTGGGCCCCAGGGTGTGCACACGGCCCTCACCTGTGGGCCCCCAGGGTGCACACGGCCCTCACCTGTGGCCCCCAGTGCGCACGGCCCTCACCTGTGGGTCCCCAGGGTGCACACGGTCCTCACCTGTGGGCCCCCAGGGTGCACACGGCCCTCACCTGTGGCCCCCAGTGCGCACGGCCCTCACCTGTGGGCCCCCAGGGTGCACACGGCCCTCACCTGTGGGCCCCCAGGGTGCACACGGCCCTCACCTGTTGATCTCCAGGGTGTGCACGCCGTACTTGCTCTCGATCCTGTACTTGCCTGGATCGGCCGCTTGGCAGATCAGACTGCCATCCTTGTACCTGAGCGAGGAGACACTCTGGTTAACACGAGGGCCGACGGGGACTGTGCCCACCTTCCTGATCACCTCCTCGGACGTCCCCACCCCACCTCCACACGCGTCACTGTCAGTGTCACAGGCAGTGGCGAGGGGTGGCTGGGAGATGCCCAGAGCCCACACTCATCTGCCCGTGAGGACAGAGCGGCCTTTGCTGATCCGACTCCTGGGCCCTGTGGACCCAGGAGTGTGCCCAAGGTCCCCTGGGCCTCCATCGGATACTCCGGACCTGTCCATTCTATCAGAAGATAAATGGAGCCGACGCGCCTGAGTCCCAGACCAGCTCCCTGGGCCACGGCAGCGCGGGGACGTGCAGGAGGAGCTCAGCAGGCCCAGCCGTCCAGTCCTGACGGGGGCTGCTCATCCCGCCCAGGGCAGCAGGCCCGTGTCCCCAGGACCAAGAGCAGTGGGTCTCGGCCTCCCGGAGCCTGGGGACAGCACGGGCCTGTAGGGTCTGCCGAGAGCCCAGCCCGGGTCACAGGGAGATGTTTACGGTGCGTGCGGGAAGCCATGACTTTGGGGACTGTTGTGACCGGCAGCCAGTGGGCAGAGGAAGGAACACAGACCCTCCGCAGGACTGAAACAGGGGGGGCCTGGGACTTAGAGACCTAAGTTCACTGTCACAGGACCGGCGTGGTCCCAGGGCCTGGGGTCTCCACAGGGGTGTCTCCCCTTAATCGCGAACATGGCTGTGCAAACTCGGCTCATTTCAGAATAAAATTCCTCAGGAACGCCAGCTGAGGGCACCTCCCTAAGACAGGACCCATTTCCCACGAGACCGCAAGCGGGGCACCTGTGGCCGTGGGGCAGGCACGTCCTTTGCGTGGTTCCCCTGCGCGCACACAGGGGAGCCCGCGCCGAGCCCTGGGCGCGCCGCTCTGGGCCTGGAGGGAGCGCTCACCACTGCACCACGGGCGTGGGGAAGCCCTGGACGGTGAAACACAGCTTCACGGACATCCTCTCCCAGATGGTGTGCGAGCGCAGCCGCACCAGGATCTCGGGGGCTCGCCTCATCCGCTCCTCGAACGCGTGCCTCTCCCAGGCCATCTGGTCCTCCACCTGCCCAGGAAGCGAGCGGGTGGGTGCTCCGAGCAAGCCTCAGCCATCGGCCGCCGGCCGCGGGCGGAGGAATCACAGCCCGGCCTCAGCACCCCGACATCGGAGACCCGCCTACCATCTGCTCCAGGGCGTACTTGTCCAGCTTCTCCCGCGCCTGCGCGCGCGCCAGGTGCACGCTGCCCTCCAGCTCCTCCAGCTCGCGGAGGAAGCGCTGCCGCTTGGCCTCCCCGTACGAGGCCACCAGGGACTGGTACCTGCAGGGGAGAAGGGACCGTCGGTCCTGACACCGCCGCGGCGGGCTCTCTCCCAGGACCGTCTCTCCGGGCGGAGAGAACCGGGGGAACTGCACCTTCGTCTCTCTCAGGAGAGTGAACACACACGTGAGGTTGTGCGAAAGGGTGGGACGCAGGTTATAGATTAAAGACGCAAATAAAACGCCCCCCTTTCCTCCGACAGGTAAAGTCCCCGAGGCCGCCGTGGGGGACAAAGGCTATGAGTGGCGGCGTGTGACGCTGTGCTGTCCCTGCCCCTGGTGTGCTGCGTACGCGCGGGGTGCCCTGCACCTGGGGTCACGGGGTGGGACGACCCGCAAACACAGGACGTGCTACACCTCTGTTCACCTGGCCTCGCAGAGGCAGCAGGGGCTTGCGGACCCCTCGGCCGGCCCCGGACAGCCTGGGGGCGCCGACGCCCACTGCTCTCGGCACAGACCTGAAGGCAGCAAAGGGGCCTCCTGCGGAAACGGGGAACCCCCGGGCAGGCCGCTGCCTCCTGCGCCTCAGACCCGACAAAAGCAGTGACTCCTCGGACAGACCCACAGCTGGCTTCCCGAAGGGCCGCGCGTCACCTCGGTGCCTGCGGGAGGTGAGGGCTGAGGCCGGCCCCCCACGCCGAAGCCCAGCCGATCAGCTCCACATCCGGCCTCGCTCCCCCCCAGCTATCTGATGGCGGACAGAGCAGGGGCCACAGTAAAGTCTGTTGGCTCTGGTCCAGTTCACAAAACCACTTAGATTTACTCTCAAAACAGGGAAGCTCTCATTTCTCTCAGATCTCTCACGTGGAGGACACGTGCGTGGGCTGGAGGATCACCGTGGGTGACGGAGAAGGCCTGGGTCCAGCGGGCTCAGCACAGCCTCCACGCACCTGCCCCACCCGCACCTGCCCCACCTGCCTCCACGCACCTGCCTCCACGCACCTGCCTCCACACACCTGCCTCCACGCACCTGCCCCACCCGCACCTGCCCCACCTGCCTCCACACACCTGCCTCCACGCACCTGCCTCCACGCACCTGCCTCCACGCACCTGCCTCCACGCACCTGCCTCCACATACCTGCCTCCACGCACCTGCCTCCACGCACCTGCCTCCACGCACCTGCCTCCACGCACCTGCCTCCACGCACCTGCCCCACCTGCACCTGCCTCCACACACCTGCCTCCACACACCTGCCTCCACACACCTGCCTCCACGCACCTGCCTCCACGCACCTGCCCCACCTGCACCTGCCTCCACACACCTGCCTCCACACACCTGCCTCCACACACCTGCCCCACCTGAACCTGCCTCCACGCACCTGCCTCCACGCACCTGCCCCACCTGCACCTGCCTCCACACACCTGCCTCCACGCACCTGCCTCCACACACCTGCCTCCACACACCTGCCTCCACACACCTGCCCCACCTGCACCTGCCTCCATGCACCTGCCCCACCCGCACCTGCCTCCACGCACCTGCCTCCACACACCTGCCCCACCTGCACCTGCCTCCACGCACACCTGCCCCACCCACACCTGCCTCCATGCACCTGCCCCACCCGCACCTGCCTCCATGCACCTGCCCCACCCGCACCTGCCTCCACGCACCTGCCCCACCCGCACCTGCCCCACCCGCACCTGCCCCCACGCACCTGCCTCCACGCACCTGCCCCACCCACACCTGCCTCCACGCACCTGCCCCACCTGAACCTGCCTCCACGCACCTGCACCTGCCTCCACGCACCTGCCTCCACGCACCTGCCCCACCCACACCTGCCTCCACGCACCTGCCCCACCTGAACCTGCCTCCACGCACCTGCACCTGCCTCCACGCACCTGCCTCCACGCACCTGCCCCACCTGCACCTGCCTCCAGGCACCTGCCTCCACGCACCTGCCTCCACGCACCTGCCCCACCCGCACCTGCCCCACCCGCACCTGCCCCCACGCACCTGCCTCCACGCACCTGCCCCACCCACACCTGCCTCCACGCACCTGCCCCACCTGAACCTGCCTCCACGCACCTGCCCCACCCGCACCTGCCCCACCCGCACCTGCCCCCACGCACCTGCCTCCACGCACCTGCCCCACCCACACCTGCCTCCACGCACCTGCCCCACCCACACCTGCCTCCACGCACCTGCCCCACCTGAACCTGCCTCCACGCACCTGCACCTGCCTCCACGCACCTGCACCTGCCTCCACGCACCTGCCCCACCCACACCTGCCCCACCTGCACCTGCCTCCACACACCTGCCTCCACGCACCTGCCTCCACACACCTGCCTCCACGCACCTGCCTCCACAACACCTGCCCCACCTGCACCTGCCTTACCTGCATCTGCCCCCATAGAACCTGCCCCACCTGCACCTGCCCCGCCCGCACCTGTCCAGAGGTCTGGACACAGAGGGCAGAACTATCACCACCATAAGTGAACAGCACATTCTGCAAGTCAGGGTCGCTGGGCATTTCAGGAAGATTTCCAACAGCCGGGATCATCACAAAGTCAGTTTTTCTGAAACCACGTTAATCGCCCAGTCCCTGAGTAGTCAAGTTGATAGCTGTTTGCCATCCACCTCACCTCTGGGGAAACGGAGGACCGTGAACTTTGCACAGTGTGTCCGAGGTCACACCAGGTGTGACGGATAAAAATAAAAGGACAGCCCTGGCCAGTTTGGCTCAGCAGTTAGAGCATCGGACTGCGGTCCAGAGAGACCCGGGTTCGGTTCCCACTAGGGGCATGTACCTCGGTTGCAGTTTGTCCCCGGCCCTGGTTGGGACATGTGGGTGGCAACCACTCGATGTGTCCCTTTCATATCGATGTTTCTCTTTCTCTCCCTCCCACTCTATCTGAACAGAAAATGGAAAAATATCCTCGGGTGAGGATAAAAATAAATAAATAAATAAATAATAATAAAAGGATGAAGCCCAAGTCTCCTCACTCCCTGGGCCAAAATTAAATTTTGGTAGACCCCTTTGTTACCAATCCAACCCACAACACCCCGACTTTTGAATGGACTCATTTTGAAGTGATCCTTTACAAAAGAAGTCTTCCCTCTACAATATCATCAAGCAATGTGGCAAATTTTAACAGATGCCTTAGTCATGGTGCAACTTTCCCCAGGGGACGTTTTCCCAGATCTCATCTCTGCCCAGGTGCGCCGAGCATAGAGGCACAGAGAGAACGCCCCTCATCGGTTGGGGGGCAGATGTGACAGGCAGCCCTCACGGGCTGTGCAAATATTCTGTTCTCTGAAGAGCAGAGGAAGATCACCACCTGTCTCTGTGACCTGGAAATAATTTCTGGACTGAGGTTCTGATGACTCCGGCTCATCCCTCTGACATTTCCCGTGAGCGGAGTCCTCTGCCCGTGGGGGTGGGCACGCACAGCCCTGCGCTGTGGGCGGCTGGCGGAAACCCCGCCCCTGTGGAGCACCCTGGTGCCTGAGCCCCCCTTCCCTCCACCAGGCCATTCACAAGCTAAGGAGACTGGTGGTGGACATTCAAGGTCGACCCCCACCTGTTGGTACTGCTGTCAGATGTGACCATGCTGTTGTGTGTGGCCAGGCACAGAGCCAGGCGGGCCGGCCGCAGACCTGAGACCAACAGCAGCCACGGCGTGCATGAGGCACGGGCCGGGCCGTGGGAGCCGGTTCTCAGGGCCAAACGAAGGGGAAACGTCACCCCAACAGTTTCCTTGTCAGGATGATGGAGACAAGGATGGTGATGAACAGCACGTGGCTGGGAAACTGGACCTGATGTTGCCCTGCACACCTGTCCTGACCTGTCCCGGGGTGGGCAGTGCTGGGGCCTTCCCTGGATGGATGCGCTGGGACCCCGCCCCCGGCTGGGGTGCGCTGGGACCCGCCCCCGGCTGGGGTGCACTGGGACCCCGCCCCCGCGTGGCACCTGCTCTGACTCTGGGGGCGGCTGCCTGAGGGGACAGGACGCACCTTCTCTCACTCTCCTGCTCACGCTCCTCCTGCTCAGAGCTCATCCTCTTGGCGCAGAGCCTGCAGACCGTCCCTTCCAGGGACCGGGACGCCTGGCTGGAACCGCCCTGGGACGACGTCTTCTGCGTGAGCGAGCGCTGGGCAGAGGACTGGGAGGACGCCCGCCTTGACCGACATGGAGAAAACGGGGTGTGAGAGAAGTATGAGGACGTCTCGTGACCGATGACAGCACTTTCTCCCTGCGCCTCCACGTACACATATGCAGGCTCACGTGTGCTTGCGTTACCTGTGCATCACCTTTGTGCACGAAGATACACAAACATGTGCACATGCATACACCCATGCAAGTGCATTCACACACGCAGTGTATGCACACCCACACACATGCACACATGTTTGCACGCACTCCAACCTACGTCTCTCTGCACCCAGCTCCCCCATCTGCACAGGCCCATCCTCAGAGGGACACTGACATACATGGAGCTCCTCCCCCCTCGCCCCTCCCCCCTCGCCCCTCCCCCAGTGTCAGCCTGTGCCTTCTGCAGCCCTGGCCCAAGGCCAGGATTATATATATCCGAAGGGATGGGAAGCTCCTTGAGGCTGCTGGGACGGGCTGGGAGTGTTTGGCCTTGTTTGTTATGGGGATGGCAACTAAACACAGGACCACAGGCATTTCTAAATATAGGTGCTGATGACGTGTACCCAGGAACCGAGGGCTGGAGCCACCAGGCCAGCAGCGTCCACCCGCAGCCCGTTAGAGCTTGGAGATGCACTCCACCAGGGCAGGGCGCGCCCTGAGGACTCGGGGCTTGAGAAGCTCCCGGGGGAAGTTGTGACTTGCCCCCAAGCCTGTGATTCAGAGTCAATTAACTTCTTGCTACATTTACTATGAATGCAGAAAAGTCACTGCTGAACCGGCATCCACAGATCTTTACTTTGCCAACCCGTTGTTTCTCTGTCACTGACTTCTCTCCCATTGCTTCCCTTCCCATCGACCTTGCTTTTGGGTGACTTTTTAGATTACAGTTCTGGAAGACGCAGGAAGAAGCGTAATGTCAATGAGCACTGACTAAAAACATCCTGCTTCCCCTGGTCTAACCTGGGGTCAGACCCAGTCCACCAGGGTCCAGCCAGGTCCACCAGGGTCCAGCCAGGTCCACCAGGGCCCATCAGGATCTACCAGGATCTACCAGACTCTAGTGGAGTCCACCAGGGTCTACCAGAATCCACAGGGTCTAGCTGGGTCAACCAGGGTCTAACCAGGTCTACCAGGATCTACCAGATTCTAGTGGAGTCCACCAGGGTCTACCGGGATCTACCAGATTCTAGTGGAGTCCACCAGGGTCTACCGGGATCTACCAGATTCTAGTAGAGTCCACCAGGGTCTACCGGGATCTACCAGATTCTAGTGGAGTCCACCAGGGTCTACCGGGATCTACCAGATTCTAGCAGAGTCCACCAGGGTCTACCGGGATCTACCAGATTCTAGTGGAGTCCACCAGGGTCTACCGAGATCTACCAGATTCTAGTAGAGTCCACCAGGGTCTACCGGGATCTACCAGATTCTAGTGGAGTCCACCAGGGTCTACCGGGATCTACCAGATTCTAGTGGAGTCCACCAGGGTCTACCGGGATCTACCAGATTCTAGTGGAGTCCACCAGGGTCTACCGGATGCCACGTAGCCCCCCACACACAGTTCCCTGCCCAGCCAGTCAGCCACATTCCCCTGTGGCACTGAAGATAGACATCAGGGAGCATGGTCATCCCTGACCTTTGCCGAACACGTCCCTCAAGGTTTCAGGGGACTGGCTGAAGCTTCCGGCCTTTGACGGTTGGCCACCCATAATCAGAGCCCCGTGAGTCTCATCGGTGGATTCCAACTTACATTTTGGCTGCATATTCATTCATGAGGTACCTTGTCTGAACATTACGATAGGACTGGTCGAAGTGTTTGTGTCTCTTTTGGTAGAACGGCATGGTGACGAGCGCCATCTTGGGGTTCACCTACAAAGAAAGAACACACACAGCCCTGAGGCCCTTCTCAGACACAGCCCTGCGACTTCTACCTGACGCCGCCTTGTTGCTGAGACGGAAATCAGCTCCCGTTACACAACCCACGGGGAGGTGAGTGGCAGGCTGTAGACGGGCCAGCACCCTGAGACCAGAGGCCCACTGAGCCCCGGGGCCCGGTTGCATGCTGTTTCTTCCACACAGTTAGACCGTTGGCCCGCGTGCTCGATTCAACTGTAAACTGAACAACTATTTATAGAAGACGTAGTTTGTTCCAGGCTATGTGAGTGATAAGGATAAAAATAATTAAAACACCGATTGCAGAAGTGAGCACGTGTTTAGTGAACAGGAGCGCAGAGCCACAACGTGCGCCTGGAGGGAGAGGGGGTCAGGAGAGGTCCCCTGGGCGTGACATCGGAGGAGAGTCCTGACGGATGTTGGGCACACCGGCAGAGGTGCGGGTGGACGGAAGGGCTTCCGTGGGCAAACGCACACACAAGGCAGGTGCTCAGGAGACGCGAGGAGGGGAGAGGAGTCTCGCTGGAGAGGCTGAGCACACAGGCCCGTGTCCGCCCCAAAGCCAGGAGTCGCCACCGCTCGGAAGGGGGCTTGAGGAAAGAATCCGTCTCCAGGACGCTTTCCGGATCCAACCTTCTACACTCATACCTGACCGGTTCCTGTAGACCCGCGGGGTTGGGTCAGGCAGGCGGGGGGACGGGGCCCACAGGGAGAGCTTGGAGGATGCGGGAAGTGAGCACGTTTTGGTTAAATTCCCCCAAACAGGAGCCGGTCGGGCTCCCTCTGGGGTGTGGTCTGGAGCGGAAATGCTGCAGGTACGAGGTACGAGCTGGGCCTGCAACGCACACGTTCACCCACAGTAAGCGACGTGCGGCCTCCCGGGCTGCTTGTCTGTCTCTGAAAAGACTGTGACCCTAAAGCCCTGTGGTTACTACTTTCTCAGATAAAAAGGAAAAGAACTCCTCCAAATCTGAGCTACCGTTTGTGTTTAAAGGACTTCGTGAACAAGGTCCCACGACACACCCGGGGACGCCACTCAGCGCAGCCAGGCTGGGGACCAGGAGGTCAGGCGCTGCTCTGACGACGGCCGTCCGCGTCCTGTCCACCCCCGAGCGGCCCCTGGGCTGTGCCGGAGCCCGCGAGCCCCAGAACCCTCCTCATGGTCCATCTGCCCTGGGCTGCGTGGCCCAGAGTCGCAGCTGTCGAGCTCAGACGGGCCCGAGAGGATGATCAAACCCTCTGTGCGCAGCGCAGGGGTCGGGACGATGGCCAGAGAGGTGATTTCCCCAAGGACATTGGGAGGGGCTGGCCCACCGGAGGTCCTCAGACTTCTACTCCCGGGCCTTCCACAGTGTCTCGCACTCCCTCACCTCAGCATTTCCTCTCAAAACCCGACCAGTCGGCACCCCCCACGCCCTGAGGGCCCGCGTGGCCTGCAGTGCGCTGGCACGAAGCTGGTCACGAGCATGTGAGAACGTGGCGCATCACAGAACACGGCCAAAGCACATCCGGTGCAGCCACAGCACTTTGAAAGGCCAGGGTCAAGGTCAAGCAGATTTCTGACCGGTGCAGGACCAGATCTGACTGCAGCACCTGCGGTGCGAGCTGACCGTCCCTGAACCGGGGCGACGCTGGCGCTGGCCTGGCGGTGACGCCTCCCCCGCTGGCTGAACTCTAAGGCGTCGGAGGAAACACCTCCATCACGTTAACATTTGAAGGTCCCCACGGCAGGACGTGGGGCCTGTGTTCAGTGATCACGTGTATTCCACACCCAGCCCCAGAGCCGCAGGCGGTGCAGGCGAAGATCACGGGCCCGAGGTCGGACCGGTGCTGCGGACATGTGTCCCCCTTTGCCGGTGCCCCCTCCAGGACATCTTGATCACACCCGCACCGACGGAGGAAGACCCTCCCACGGTGGACATTCAGGACGGCCGGAGGCGGTCAGTCCCCGCGCCCTGCTCCCTCAGGTCCCCGTGCATTTCCTGGCAAAGGGACGAGTCCAGAAACAGCCCAGGTGACAGGCGAGGATAAGCCGTCCCGAAAAGTCCGACCCGTGGCCACCAGCACCCGGCAGGGCACAGTCCACACTTGCTGGGACCCGGGCTGCCGTCCGAGGGTGAAATGCGGGGAAGGTCAGCTCTGCTCAGAGCCAGTGGCCAGCTCTCCCTCCCTGGGTCACGGTGTCCTGCCCGGTGCCCGGGCACCCTCAGTACTTTGTGCATAATAGGCGGAGCCCGGCACGTGGCTGTGGGGCCCGGGCCTCCCGAGGGCCATAAGGAGGGCTCTGTGGCAACCAGGACCCGGAGCTGAAACAGTGTCCGTGGCCTGGGTTCCTCGCCGTAGCTGTCTCCCCGGGACCCTCCTGCACACCTGCCGTCCTCGCCCAGAAGCACTGTGCTGGGGGCCACCTGCGTCAGGGGCTCAAGGACTCAGCCCTTCCTGCCTGTCCTTCCACAAACCCTTGGAGCACGTGCCACACGCCAGCCTGGATCTCAGAACCATGGCACCCCGAGGGGGGACACCCAGGGCGCCCCGCCCCAGGACGGCAGTGGCTCATGGCTCTGCACCGTGGTCCCCACGCCGATGCCGGCGAGTTCGCAAGACCACTGGCCTGCGTCAGCTTTGACCAGTCTCAGGCCCAAGCCAGCCACGCCGGCCGGACCTGGCAGCTGGAGCCCACTCCTAGGCCACGCGTCTGGGCTCGGCCCCCATCTCTCCACAGCTCACAGGCCCCCCTGTGTCAGGGTTGCCCCGCTGTCCCCGAGTGTCCCTGAGGGGTGACCGGCCCTCAGCAAGTATGCTGCATGGCTCAGCGGATGCCAGGGTCACAGCCCTGGGGTCACGAGCCACTGGGGGGGCCCCGGGGAGCTGGACCACGGAGCCGGACGACACTGGGAACAAGGGGAATCACGGGGCAGGCAGCTGCCAGGGACGCTCCACGCCGTCCAAGGAGATCCTGCTGATGGGCGTTCCCGCCCTCCCCACGCAGCTGGGACACGGAGGCACCTCCCCCGTCTGCAGTCTCTGTGAGCACCGGGGATGAAGGGCCTGGAGGCGCCTGCCGGCTCTCAGCCTCGTTGCTGAGAAATGGGGCTGAGACCCCGCAACTCTTTGGTCCACGGGCCAGAGCTCTAACTGCTGAGCCAAATGGCTCCAGTGTACACGACCTGACGATACATAATCTCAGCCTGTCCTGGACGCTGCAGGGAGGACAACCCTCCGGTCACCGTTTGCCCCTGACAGGGACTCGCCCCGCCCGCCCGCCGCACCCAGATGCTCCGGACGGCCTCGGGGTTGTGGCAGCAAAGTGAAACGCGAGCCGTTCTCAAGTCCAGGGACGGCATGTCTGAGACACGCTCGCGCCTAATCCCCGCCTGTGAGGAATATCAGAGCCTGTCTTCATGTCACCGCGAAGGGCTTCAGTGTCTGCAAACATCTCAGCTGCGACGCATTGACTCCATGTAGCAAAGAAAGTCCCCCATGTGCCGCTGCCGCTGTCCCGTCCACGAACACACCACGCAGAGCTGCGCGGGAGCCGCAGAAAGGGGGGCTCACACCGGCAGTGGCTGACCCCGGTCCCTGCCCTCGCCTCCCAGGACGGGACCCCGCGGAGCTCATGCACGGGAACCACCTGCCCCACAGGTTCTCAAGCTGCTTCCCACCAAAAGTCAAGCTAACGGAGCACAAAGTAATTCTTGAAACCAAACCATGACGTGTCCCGGGAGACGTGGCGCCTGGTGTCTGGCGGCTCACTAGCAACCCCACCTCCAAACCCCCCGCAGAACCAGGCCAGGAGCCCGGGGTCTCTGCCTCCAGAGCCCACTGGCCCCCGGGCCGGTTCCTCCGAGGCCGAACCACGTGACTCGGGCCAAGCAGCGGGCGGCTTCCCAGGTTCTTCCACAGAATGACGGGGTTAAAAACAGGTCCACATCTCTACAAATATTTCCTTCACGAATTTCCCCCGACTCTCCCGTGTCCCTGAGCAGCCGCAGAGGTGACCGCGGGGAGCCCAGACTCAGTCACTGAAGAACTGACTCCCCCAGGTCACCTGACCCCTCGAGGTGACTCCTGCTCAGGAACAGCGTGGGGCCCGCAGAGAGAGGGGACGGGAGCCTTACCCCTCCTCGAACCCCACTTTCCTTCCTTGCCATCCCCACCCCCGGCCGTCGGGTGCAGGGACCCCACCTCCTTTTGGCAGATTCCCAGAGAGTAACCGGAAAGCTCTGCGGGCACCGAGCGGGACTCGGCAGGGTCACCACCCACCGGAGCACAGAGCAGACAACAGCCACCAGCGCGACCTGGGCGCCCCGGGAACCCTGACCGGCGGGACCGTCCCCATCCCGTCCCCATCCCGTCCCCATCCCGTCCCCATCCCGTCCCGTCCACGCTGTAGTCTAGGTCCTGACGAATGACCCGGCTCCTTGTTTTCTTACGAAAACCTCCGATGTTATCTCCCACCTGCTCTCTCGTCTTCCCCTCCCAGCGTGGACTCGGTGCACGGCGGGGCCGAGGGAGGTGCGCCGGGCTCGGCCCCGCAGGCTGCGCAGGGGCGCTGGGACGCTGCGGGCAGGCTCCGCAACACCGCCGGGCGGACACGCAGACCAGGCTGAAATCTGGCCCAGAGGCCCAGACCTCAGATCGGGTCATGGGGGTTCCTGCTCTCTACCCTGAAGTGAGTCCGCTCCGGATACCCGACGCCCCCAGCCCCACACAAGCCCGGCTCCTCCCGGGGGCCCAGCTGGGAAGAGGAGGAAGGACAGAAACTCACCGAGAGAGGAAGGAGCCTGGCAGAGGGGAGGCAGCTCCCGGCCGCCCGCTCACCTGCTCTGGGCACAGGAAGGCAGAGCCCAGCTCTGTGGCCGGCCGGCCCGCCCCATTTATGGCCAAGGAGCTGCTATATTTAGACACATGGCTGGTCGCCCGGACGAGCCCACGGTGAATCACTGCCTGGTCGTGGGGCACAGGCCCTTCTCCTTTGGGACAAACCCAATGGAGGGGGTCGCTGACCCTTCAGGAAACTGACCAGAAGAGAGGGTGGGGCGTGGGCTTCTAACTCCTTTCAGTGTTCAAATTCTTGGACGTACCTTCAGTCCTTCTGAGTGACAGACGAGTCCTCTGTCGCCACCCGACTGAGGCCCCTGGTGCCCCGTGGTTACCGTGGTGACCAGGGGCCAGGGCGCTGACCCCAAGGGCTGGGGGAGGGGAGGGGCCGCTGTGGTCAGTGTCTTGTTTGTTTCTAATTTCAACAACTACTGGAGCTTTCGCGAGCACCATCCAGGGTGGATTTGGGAGGCCTGGCCACCTGAGGGGGATCCGTGCCCAGTCGGCAAACGGCGTCTTACTTACAGTTATGGCCACAGACGGCGCTGCGCCCAAACCCCCACACGGCAGAGTGTCCGCCTCTCTGTCCATCACGTGCCCAGATGTCCCTGATGCGGGCCTCAGAGGGCCGAGGGCTGGAACCTGGTGTGAGCGGCCACAAGGAAGGGCCCATGTCGACACCCCCCGGACTCCCGAGATTGCTCCCACACAGCTCGCACCCCAGGCCGGCTGCGCGGGCCCGCAAACCTGTGTGGTAACAGCCACCGTGTGAGTTGTTGTGAAAATAAGAGGAAACCATCTGTGGAAAGTCCCTGGGAGCCTTTCAAACCTCAGGCGCCGGGGTCTCGTTGATGAGAAACCGCCAGAGAGCACAGGTCAGAGGGTCAGTGTCCGAGGACACGGGTCGAAGGCTCTGGCTCCCCTCCAGGTCCCCGCACACGTGCCCAGGGACCACGCTTCTCCGGGTCTAACCCCCAGGACCCCCTGGCCCGGCACCCACCCCCCAGGCGTGTCTGTCCACCGGCCCTGCCCTCTCCCGTGGGCCACCAGTGTCACCCACACTGAGGCGCAGGGACTGCTGTGCCCACCTCCGAGGACGCAGCCCGTAGGGGCCCTGGGTGACTGGACACGTCGCTCAGCGGGAGCCAGGACGGAGCCCTCGCGGCCGGTGACATCAGACACGGAGTAGCAGGTGATGTCACCGAAAGTTTCCTGAATTTGGTGAAACCTATGAACCCACAGCCACCAGGAGCCAACCAGCACCAACTCCAGCCCGCAGATCGAAGCCGCACCAAGTCACGTGGGATCGAACGGTTGCAAACGCCTGATTCGGGGAAAAGCTCCAGACAAGAAGGAAGCCGTGTTCCCTGTGAAGGAACAAAGATGACCTGGCAGCGGACACTTTCATCAGAAATGACGCAAACTGGAAAACAGCATCCAGATCACAGTGCCCAGGTCACGGCACCCAGGACACGGCACCCAGGACACGGCGCCCAAGTCACGGCGCCCAGGACACGGCGCCCAGGTCACGGCGCCCAGGTCACGGCGCCCAGGACACGGCGCCCAGGTCACGGCGCCCAGGTCACGGCGCCCAGGACACGGCGCCCAGGTCACGGCGCCCAGGACTCGGCGCCCAGGACATGGCGCCCAGGACACGGCGCCCAAGTCACGGCGCCCAGGACACGGCGCCCAGGACACAGCGTCCTACGACGGCAAAGGAAGACCTTCCAGAAGTGAAGGTGACTCCCGCCCCACCAGGGATTGGGGAGAGGCAGTGGGAGCCCAGCCCCGCACTCACCGGGCAGGACGGGGGTGCAGGTCACAGAGGCTGACACTCGGGACCCGCGGAAGGTCCCGTGCCACGGCTGACCAGCCTGCATCACCCCTCCCAGGCCGACCTCCAGATGACTGGTGACCACTCCTTTCCTGGACACTCGCTGCCATGACCTTGGGCGCATTGCACCCCACCCGCCAGTCTCCTCATGTCCACGGCCCAAACAGCCCGGCACCCCCACTGCCGCAGGCCCAGCAGACTGAGACGCAGCCAGCCTCCCATGGGGTTCAGGCTCTCCCCACTGCTCCCCTCTGCCTCTGCCCAGCGGCCCCCACCCCGCGAGGGGCACCAGCCAGGAGTCTTGGACCCTTCTTCCTCCTGACGCCCTCGCACCTGCCCTGCTCCCCGTCTCCGCTGCTGTCCCCCAGTCCCGGCTGGGCCGCCTCTCTCCCCACCTCTGCCAAGTAGATTTCTCAGAGCATTGGTCCACTCAGTCACCCCCCCGAAAGTCATGAGTGTCTTAGAACAAAGGCACACATACTTACGGGGTACGCCTTCTCTCAGCTGGGGAGCACGTGCTCCTTCGGGGAGGCATGGACCACCCACCCCACCAGCCCGACCGTGAGCCCGGGCGTCTGCCGGCATGAAGTCCCGGGACACGGCTCAAAACCGGCCCCCGAGCCTGGCTGGTGGCGCAGCTCTTGGGTTCAGTCCGTGGTTGGGGTGCACACGGTAGGCGACCCGTGGATGTTTCTCTCTCCCCCTCTCCCTTCCTCTCTCTAAAATCAATAAAAACGTATCCTCAAGTGATCAAAAGAAATACCACCTGACACACAGAACACTCAGCGGACATCTGCTCACGGAATGAACAGTCACTGAAGAGCCGGGGGGGGGACCCCGCATTCTTCCTGAACACCCAGTCCCGAGGCCACTCGGCATCTCTCCGTCAGAGCCGAGTTCTCCGTGTCTGTGAGCCCAGCAGGGTCGAGGGGCCTGGCGGCAGTGGCAGCTCTGGCCCCACGTGACCTCCGTGGACTCGTGGACGAGGTGGGCATGGGGAGCTGCGTGGCCGAGGCCACGGGGACGTGCAGCTCTCACAGAAGTTAGGCGTGTCTCCCCTGCCTCCCAGGCTCCCCCACATCTTAGCAGGGGGGAACCCACAGAGGCCGGAACCCCACTAAGGGGGAAAGGCCGGGACCGGGGTCGCCCACGGTCTGGAGAGGGGGCCTCTGTCCCTTCATCAGGGTGCCGATGTGCCCTTAATGCCCCGCCGTGGTGTGGTTTTTGTTTTGTTTTGCTTTTTTTTTTAACTCATCTTTACTGTTGAATGTATTAGATATTCCCCCCTTTTTCCCCATTGAGCCCCCTCCTCCCCAGTCCCACCCCCTCCTGCCTCCCCCACACTACCGTCGGTGTCCATTGGTTTTGCACAGAAGTTCTCTGGTCTGTCTCTTCCCGCCCCCTCCTCCCTTCCTTTTGAGGTGCATCAGTCTAACCACCAATTTGTACTTCTTAATTCCTTCATCTTTTGTGGGGATTTTGTTGTTGTTGTTAATCCTCACCAGAGGATATTTTTCTCCATTGATTTAGACAGAGAGGAAGGGAGGGAGGGAGGAACATCGATGTGAGAGACACATTGGTTGGTTGCCTCCCACATGACCTGACCGGGGCCTGGGATCCAACCTCCAACCCAGGCACACGCCCGTGACCGGGGATCGAGCCCCCGACCCTTCAGTCTGCAGGTGGACACTCTGACCACTGAGCCAAACCGTGCGGGGAGTCACGGCTGTTTCACGCCCTGAGAACCGCCCGCCTGGCGGATGAGACGGGCTCGGCTCTGGTCTCTCCCACGCTCGCGCCCGGGACCAGCTTGGTCAGAGGTGGCCGGTGGCTCAGACCCCGCCCTCCCTCGTCAGGACCTTGCACACCGTAGAAGCTGGGTAAATGCCACTTTTATCAAATCTGCACAATGGCTTTGCCCTGGGGATGCTATTTACAGGTTTCTATTTACAGACAGGGCCTGCACTCGTGGGCAGTTTATCTCTGCGGTGTGGTGAGGTCCCCCCTCCAGGAGGCACGAGCAGCTGAGGTCTGGCCGGGCCCTGCGCTCCCCTCAAGGGCACTGGCCCCGGGCCTGGCCCCCTGTGTGTTCATCTGGCTGAGCTGCGTGACCCGCAAAGTCTCCTCAGCCGGCTGGGCCTGGCTCCCCCGGCCGTAACGTGAGGTTGGGATTAGAGGCTCCGGGCTAAGCCCCGACACGCTGAGTTCCAATCCCCAGTGGCCGCGCCGGGGCAGGGGCATCACACACAGGGTCAGAGCTGCCGGTGCAGAGCAGGAGCCGGGGCACCGGACACCGCCCAGGCCGGCCGTGCCCAGAGGATGCCATTCCAAAAGCGCTCAGCGGCTGGAAGACTGCGGACGATGCCGTGAGCCCTGTGCCGACAAGAATAGTCAGAGGTGACAAAATAGAACGGGCGGCAGGCGTGAGCACACCCAGCGGCCGGCCCGGGCTCAGGGGAGGCGGACGTGCTGGGAAGACCAAGCTAGGACGCAGCTGTCCCCCCGGCCCCCCCGTTCACCCTGCACATGAGCACATTGAGCCCAAAGAGGGAAGAAAACTGGCCAGGGTCACAGGGGTTTGCTATGCAGCGGGCTTGAACTAAAATTCAAAATCTTTACTTCTAGGCCTCGTGATTCACCCTCCAGAGAGGGGCTGGTTCCCCCAGGGGGTGTGAGGAGCCAGGTCGAGGTCAAGGTCAAGGCCAGGATCCAGTCAGCTGCTGGGAAAGGGGGGCCACAGCCAGGCCTGCTGAGATGCTGCTCCTGACAGGACGCGTGGCTCACGGCTCTGAGGTGACATTCTTCCCGCGTGCACGCTCAGGACGGTCACCGGAGTCAGTGTGGCTCCATCCGCACTTCTGGTCACAGGCGTGTGGTCTCCTGTTCCCAAGAGCGCGGTGCCGCAGGGAGTGGGGCTCAGTGCCAGACCTGGGCCCAGAGACCCTCCCTGCCCGTAACTGGTGTTTGAGCAGGAGAGACCCAGGAGCACCCCATCTCCCTAGGGCCTGGGTCTACCTGAGATCAGAGGAGCCGGGTCTGACGTCCCTGGGCCTCCTGGGAAACCCTGGCATCATGCCGCCAACTGCTGTCCCCCAAATGCAACGGGGAGCCATGGCCGACAGGACGATGCTGTGGAAGCTGAGAGAGACAGCACTCGCCACCCGCA